TCAGACATGGAGCGGCTGTGGAATCCTTGCTCTTCTTTTTGGGAGCGGGTGAATTGGCCCTTTTGGTGTCTTTGGTGGCGGCAGCGGCTTTGTCATCATGCTTATAAAAACATTTGTCACCACGTCTGCACTTTCCCTGGGCATGATAGATACACGGGGTTTTGGCCATCTCTTCCTTGGACATTTTCTTCCCCTTATCATCTTTGTTGCCCCTTGATGGTGAACGTGTCTTGGTTCTTCTGGGTGATTGAGTTCGAGATTTATCATCTTTGACATGCTTAAATGGACACTTTTTCCCCTTATCACAGGTACCCTTTAGGAACTTATAGCAAATTTTGTCACCTTTGCCACCTCGTTCCTGCGATCTACCACGACTCGGAGAGCCCTTTCGGCCGCCGCGACCATCGCCTTTGGCGGGTGCGGCCTTTGTGTCCTTGATCCCAGCCTTGTTCTTCTCCGCGATGCGGTTCCTGTTTTCCCTCAATCGTTCACGGTCGATCAAGTTCTTCATGGATTGGTGAAGAAAACTATAAGACTTTTCATGGGATTTCTCATGTGCACGATCAAACATCTCGATGTCGTATTTCAGCAACTGACTTGGTCGGTCTGCCTCAATAAGATGTCCCTTAACACAGCATCATCAGGGGTGACAGCCATGCCAGCTAGGGTAGCATCCCATTTGTTGATGAATCTTCGGAGATCCTGGACAGTATCGCCTACTTTGACAACACCCAAAAGATCTTCTACTCTGTAAAGGCTACCTGCTTCTTCTGATGTTTTGAAGTAGTCCTCAAACATGAGCAGAACATACCTTCCCCTGACCTGGATGCCTTTTCGGGATTGCTGCTCTTTGAAATTCAGGATCCTAGTTGCGAGGTCCCCTCCGGCTGAGCGCGTGAGCGCTGCTGATAGCTTTGTATCCAGCGTGAGGAACTTTCCGGGATCTTGAAGTCTCTTCTCCAACTGCTCCCTGGTGCACTCTTGATCGTACACCTCATTGAGCCAGAGCCATGCCTCGTCTGGGCGATCTGAGCAACTTTTCACTTCATCCCTGACATGGTTCTTCCAAGTCCTATATGACTCCGGAGCGGGCATGTTGTTCAGCTTGATGATTTCGGCCTCCTTAGTTTTTGGCTTATCCTTTTCTTCCCTTTGGGTTAAGGCTTTTACCAATTCAATAAGATCTGAGGGACCCATCACTTGCTGTTGCTTGGTTACGCTCTTCGGGGAATCATTTGGGGGAGTTTTGATAGCTTCAGTGGGAGTGAAAAACCCTGACTGCGTTGGCAATTGGGGCTGGTCGTTGCCGACAGCCGGTTTCTGCTTGGGACTGCCACCTTTGAGCAGCTCATCCAACTTGGCTTTTGCTTCTTGTGCCAACACTGCAAGCGTTTTCAGCTCTTGAATCGGCTCATCACTGCCTTTGGCAGCCTGTGCATCGGATGCTTTAGGAGTGGCAATATTGAAGTGGGGCACGCTAGTGGTAGCGGCTGGCTCGGCATTCTGGACGGATGCTTTCGGAACGGAGGCATGCTGCGCTTTGGCAACATGCTTTAACTGCTCCTGAAGGTCATCGATTTGGTCCTGAAGGCTGAGATTCTGAGCCGCTGCCTCGTTGATCTTGTCGGCCATCTCCTTCTTGTAGTTCTCGAATTCGGTCCTCAAACTGATGAACCTGGCCTGATCAATTGCAGCCTGATCTTCATATTGCTTCTTTGTGGCAGCTATGGCATTCTTTGCATGTTCAACTGTCTGTGCATAGGAAGCTTCGAATTCACTAGTGATACGTTGCCTTTCCTCTGCAATTTTCTGATCATGCTTTGTGTTTGCCTCTACCTTGAAATCCTCTACTCTTTTGTCATGCGATGCCTGAGCCTGATTTAACCTGACCTCCAACTCGTCGCCTCGTTTCCTTTCCTCGTTGACAGCACTAATGGCCTTACCTTCAACCTCCTGCAGCCTTTGCTCATACTCCTGCTCTTGCATTACGAGCCTACTTGACCATTCGTTTCGAATTGAGTCAACTACTCCATGCATTATCTGAAGGTGCCTCTGTTCAGCTTCCCTCATGACTTGCAGGGTATTCCCACTAGTGATTTGGGACAGGTTGTTTTGTATGAAGGTAAAGTACGCTACAACGGGTTGAAACATTGTTTCGTCATCCATCGGCTCGGGGTTGCCCCCGGCCACATTGGGCACGGCGATGGCCGATGGACCTGACCCTGGAACGGCGAGAGGAAGGTCGGTTGGGGTCCCCATAGCAAAGTAGTGAGACTACGGCTGATAACCTGTATTTTACAAGGTCAGCCACCAATATGTTACAATAACAATGGGGGCAAGTAACCGCTAAGCTGTTGGCACTGTTTTGAACCAACGCTACAGAGTAGTACGATGATATATACAATACATGGTTTTACTGCAGGAGTTTTTACAGATAAAGAACATCTTGGAAACAGTTGCGTCACATGCCGGAAAAAAAAATATAGGAATGGCCTATGGGCCTATGTAGCACCTGTGTTTTCAAACGGTGAGCATCTCGAATCTCACCCCAGCATGACCCGAGCTTCTTGATGAAGCCGCCAGACAACTCGTAGCGCATCGCGAGGGCAGCAAAGTCGACATCCCCCGACAGCGGCAGAGTGGAGGGGATCAAAGAGGTCCAAATATGCCGTCGCAAAACATGGTCCTCAAAGGAATTACCAGGATACGCCGATACGCAGCAGATTTCAGCAGATTTCAGCAGATTTCTGTGCAACATGGTCAATAAAACATGGCGCCAAATCACCCCTGCCATGCAACAGTTCTACTGTCGCTCATCCATCTTGCATCCATGGCTCTGGTTTCTGAAACTCAATTGCCAAGGTAATGCGTCTATGCATTGCTTCGTCCAGATCAAAGGGTCGATTCGTGGCCAAGATGATCATGCCTGGTGACGTAATGACTACCACTGGTAGACACAAAGGCCAGCTACGAGTACTGCCATTTCTCTACAAAACAAGCGCACGGCAAGCCTAAAAAAGGCAGAGTCAGGAACCAAAATGTTAAATAAGAATGACGTTGATTAGCTTGAATTAGTCAACGTCCGTCTTCGCGAAAGCTTGTCAAGCATTTTGTGGTACAGTAAGACCTTTGTTGGTTGGTTTAATCCCTGCTTTTGTTAGTTTAATCCCTGAACCTGTTGATTCAGTCCTTATTTCTGATGCATGAAACCCGCATATACTCTAATCTCTAATCATTTAATGTTGTAGTTCTGAAGTACCAAAAAACAAACTCACCCTATCCACCTTGCCCCCTCTTTATGCAGCACCCCCCCCGGGGCAACGGCAACGGCCCCGCACCATCGTGGCGTTCGATCTCTGTCAGCAACATGTTCACATCGCGCTGGTTAGACTTGTCACGGGACTCAAAAATGGATTCGCATTCATCAAAGAAGAGCACCTGAACAGCAAGAGAACCAATAGATTTGTCATACGTACTGAGGAGTATGGGGGGTTCAACATGTTGCCACCCTCAGACTACTAGGGGGTATCCTGTCTGCCTGGAAACAATTCTAGAGATTCTGGGACCCTTGCAATTGGATGCAATTGGTCACCATTCATCATTCTGACATATCCCAACACGCTGTTCCCGTGAATGTTCGAACAATCAACCGACCACACCGTGAACACATCATGTTTTTTTGTGGGGAAGCTGGAGCATCATTTGCACGAAAGCTGTTCGAGCATAAAGTTGATTTTTGCACAAATTGCTCATTGATTGCAAGCTGGACCGATCGCAGGAAAGCATCTCAGAGGTTGATTCTTGGTTTGTTCGGATTAAGGAATCAATGCAGAGCTATGCGACCAGAAGAATCGCTAAGAGCGGCACGAAGGGATACACTTATCTAAAGATGTAAATTTGATCCATTTGGGTCTCAGGCCCGCACCCGAAGTATTCCGGACAAATTACGATAACCTCATCCCAAACATTCCAACAACTTAAAAGACTTAAACATCCCCAAACAAAAACAACATAATATAATAATATCAATAATGTTTTTTCCCATATGACATGGTATATATGGTATATATATGTTCTATGATATCTGGTTGGTGGTTTGGAACAGCACGGGCTCAATTCCCTGCCAGCACTTGGGGTGCTGCGCTTAGCCGAATATTGAGCGTAGTTTTTCTTGCACTGCCATGACAGAATGGGATTCGATGGTTGCAATCCATGACTTGTTCGTACCTGACTGGGTCAATACCCCAAAAGGGAGTACAGTTTCTGTGGTGGTCGACTGCACGGTTCATACTGATACCATGGTTTTGGGTGTGACGGTACCCGATGCCCAGAAAGTCAGGTTATATGGGGAAATCAACAGCCAGGTCAGGGGATGTCGCCGCTTGTCTGTGCTTGATGCGGTCCTTGACTTTTCACCTGGTTCTTTGGATTTGCTCATCACAGATGCCTCTATGGTTGTTGCCCATGGACTTTCTCCGGCTCGTGACATGCTGAGGGTTGTCGAGTTGTGTGCTGGGGTGTCTTGTTCCAGTGTAGGGTTGTGTGCAGCTGGATTTGAGCACATCGGCAGTGTGGAATGGCGCCCACCTCTTGCTCAGCTTCATGCCTCTTGCCACCCTGATATCCCTGTGATCACTGGTGACATCACCCAACCTAGTTGCATGCGTGCCCTGTTACAGCAGTTCAAGCCTCCATTCAGCCTCATGTCAGGGATTTCGTGTCAGCCCTACAGCTCAGGTGGATCGCAGTCAGGATCGGATGATGTCAGGTCCAACACGTTGCCAGCTACCGTCAAAGCCTGTTACCTGTGTCAAAGTCCTTTGTTGATCATCGAATGTGTCACCCAGGCCAGGTCAAACCGTTTCGTGAAGTCCATTTTGCATGCTTTGGAATCGCAACTTGGATACCACCTTTCTGAAGTATCGTTGAAACTGGAAGACAACTGGGTGGCCAGAAGATACAGGTGGTGGGTTGTTGCTTCCCATCCGTCATTAGGCCCCATGCCAGTCCCTGATTGGCCAAAGAGCCCAGGGCTTTGCATCCGAGACATCATGCCATACATCCGACAGTGGCCAGCCGAAGACCTGCGTGAGCTGTTGCTCACTGAAGGAGAAGCCCATCAGTTCACATTGGATGGGTCCAACCTGCGTCGGTATGTGATGCAGCCAGATGGAAAACTTCCGACCTGTTTGCACTCGTGGGGATCCCAAGCATCCGAATGCCCTTGTGGCTGCCGACTTTCAGGTTTCAGTGACACCCTGGTGCGACAGCGTGGCATTTATGCTCAGTTGATTCAGGTGACACGAGAGGATGGCACTCCATGGTACCGGCATGTGCATCCATGTGAACTTGCATTGATGAATGCAATGCCACCACCACTTGCATGGCTACAAGCCGATCGCCCCAGCTTGCGTTTGAGTTTGTGTGCCATTGGTCAGTTGGCTTCCCCCTTGCAATCTTTGTGGATTGGGGCAAATGTCATGCAACGGATTCACAACATTTTGGATTTCCCTCCAGTTTGTCCCAAGGCACTGCTGAGTGAGTTCAAGAGTCGGTTGGTTGCTTGTTCCAAAGACATGTACCCTGGACTTTCCACAACTCCCATGCCAGTCAACAATTGGGTTCAGCTGATTCACCTAGATGGTACCAGTGTTCACATTCAAGTCAGCCCTGAAACCACCTTTGCGGAACTGTGCCAGGCAGAGCTTGCCCTGACGCAACAGCATTTGGACGGCAGCTGGTGTGATGCCACTACCAGGACTCAGCTTGATGCCAATGACCCCATCGCCGGAAGATGCATCCGTGTTTTGCCAGATGTAGAGTCTCAGGTTGATGCATTGGATTTCACTCATGACCCAAGCCTGGAAGCCCAACTGTCCGATGATGTTGCTGAAGCATTGGCCGATGTCCCATCTGGACCTGTTGCAGTGTGGGTGCGTAAGTCTGCCAGTCCTGATGAAGTGATCTCCTCCGCTGCTGGGCCCATTCCTGATGCGATGCATGGACTTAAGCATCTGACTTGTACCCAACTTGCTGCCATGTTGCCCCCCCTTGTGTCTGATGTCGCGTACTGTCAGGTCTTGCGTCAGTCCATGGTCCTTGGCTCTGCACGCCTTGGTGTCTTGGCAAATGAAGAAACTGCAATGGCAGATGATGAACTGACTCTGCACATACGTGCCTGCTTGAAGTTGTCTGGACGGGATGGCATCCAGCTGCTTGATCCTTTGTTGGCTCTTGGTTGGTTGCGTGCAGGTGACATTGACAAAGTACGCTTGTGGCTCAGTCAGTTTCCAACACTGACTAGCATCGTGTCAGCAGTACTTGTGTCCGACCACTGGATTCCTGTCATGTGGTCGGTTGGTCTTGCGGAAGTTCAGGTTACCATTTGGGAACATGCAGACACTGACATCGAGTCTCTGTGCCCTTTGCATGGCTTGATTTGCAGTGCTTGGAATCGTCCGATGTTCAGTGTGGCTTGTACACGTCGTGTCTTTGGGCGTCAGGGTTGCAGTGCAGCTGTCGTTGCTTTTCTTGCCTCCAAGCTCCTGTCCAAAGACTTGCCGAAGAATGAACAAGAGTTGATGGACTTACACACTGATCTCAAGTGCAGCTTTGCCGCTGCTCTGCATGATGTCGAGTGTGTGCCGAAGCCTTGGTGCTGGGGTTTTGGTGTGCCAGATGTCGTTGACCTTGCTACCGCCATCCTGCAAACCCATGGTGTGCCTGCAGCCCAAGCTCCCCTGCGTGCCAAGTTGGTGGTTCAAACACTTGGGAAACAAGAAGTCCAGAAAGCCCTGAATGGCAATGCCCCTTGGAAGTCTTTGAAGGCACTTGCCAACATGCAAACACCGCACTTGCAGCTTGTGTTGCCAGATGAACTGCATGCGCAGAACCTTGGAAAACAGCCTGCCAAGCCCAAGAAGGCAGTAGGATCCTCTAAGAAGTTGCTCCCTACCAAGCCAGCAGATTTGGATCCGTCCAAGTTGGTCATTGCTCCAGCCACTTTCAGAGCAGGTGATGATGATCCAGTTGGGCAGTTGCCCCTTGCATCCGTGGGACCTCTGGCCACTGGAATTGCGTTGGCCACACTGACTGAAGCTCAGCAGTTCTTGAATGCAGGTTCTCTTCTGACTAATCAGGGTCTCGCGCTGCTGATTGTGAATCCCCCAAATGAGATTCAGACACCTTTGCAATGGTCAAGTATCCGTTTTGCAGCCAGATGCAGCATGAACCAGGAACCCATGTTGCTGCCGGGCATTCTGGTTCAACTTGGCCAGAAAACAGTGTATCCGTATCGAGCCAAGGACACCCCAGCTATTGCTTCTGCAGAAGTAGCTTGTGCCAGGATCACTGTGTACCAAGACCAGTGGGAAGGGGATTGGGAAGACTTTGCAACTCGCCCAGTCAAGCAAATCCTTGGATTTTTGCCTTGTCTCCACACCTGCCGTCAGGGATCGACTTGCACATGTAAGGGTTGGCACCCCCAAGACTCATGCCCTCATGAAGCCCTGTTGGGCGTTTTCCGTCGGCAGTTCCTGACCGAAGCTGGACGACCTGTCAAATGGGACAAAGCCTCTCATTTTGCTGTCATGATCCGGTATGCCAAGAAGTTGGAAGAACAGGTGTTAGGAACCAGTGGGGTGCACGGGATCTTTGTCGAGCCCAAAACCGAAGATGGTCTGAAACCCAACGATGCCTTCCAGGTGGTGTGGCTGCCTCATTTGGACTTTGCCGAGGCCTCCCATAAAGCCAGATGTGAGGTGCACTGCATTGGACTTGCCAGAGCAGGTAAGAGGTATGGACTTCGAGTTGCCACTGACCACTTTCAGCAGGTCTTTCGCAGCATCAAGCCAGATGCTGTTTATCTTGCTCCTGGAAGCCGCCGGACTTTTGTTTGCGGTCCTTGGCCTTTTGGTTCAGACAGAAAAGGCATAGCCAAGATCTTGCTGAGCAGTGGATGGGAGAGCAGACCTCTCCAACCATTGCACCATGTTCCAGGTGGTTTGATGTGGTCGATCCAAGCACTGACTGAACCCCCATGCAATGTCTTGCCAATGCAGCATGGCCAAGTCGTCATCACAAGCCAAGATGACCAGCCCAGTCAGACAGCTGGAACCATCGACATCGTAGGTCAGGCCAGAACTGTGCAGATGTGCCGAAATGCTGAGCCTCCCGGTGCTGACCCATGGTTGGTTCATGATCCATGGTCCAAAGCGGTGTCCTCCATGCCGTCTCAACCTGCTGCTCCCCCTGCCACCAACGTCTTGCACGAGATGGAGCAGAGGCTGGAACAGTCGCTGCTTGCCAAGATCCAGGCCACACCTGAGCCCATGGAAGTGGACTGTCAGGAGCAAAGGATGCAGGCTCTTGAGATGCAGGTCCAGCAGCTGTCCACTCGCCAAGGACAACTGGAGGCTACGGTGACTGACCACCATGCCCAAAACACCGCACAGGTACAGTCCTTGCAACAACAGATGCTGGCCCAATTCGATGTCCAGTCCAAGCAGATGTCGCACATGCTTTCGGATCAAATGTCTCGCATAGAGACGATCCTTTCGAAGAAACCCCGGACGGAATGAAGGGGTGGGGGCTCTTGTCGGCCGCCTTCCACAAGAGCGACCCCTTGGCCTTTCAGGCCATTTAAGGCAATCCTCACCCTTTTCCTGATGATGCTGATGGTTCGTGTTGGGGAAGCACGTGTACCAGGCCCAGATGTGGATACCCCGTGGTCACTTGGGATCTGTAATCCTAGTGGATTACAAGGGAAGCAGGCCATTGTCAACCAGATCAAAGCCGACATTTTGGCCATCAGCGAATCTCACCTGAGCAAGGCCGGCACTAGACAGTTGTCAAGTAGCCTTCACTCCATGCGTTCCCAGTACAAACATGTGTTGACCGGAGCACCCATGGCTCCCAGATCCACTAGCAGTGATGCAGGACAGTATGGTGGAGTGGCCTTCACGTCCAAAGTTCCCTGCAGGACGATGGCAATCCCATGGCCACCTGACCTTTATGAAACCGGCAGGGTCAGTTTTGGTTCGTTCTATACATCAGCTTCCTGGGTGTCTGGTGGTGTCATCTACGGCTATCCTGAAGGCAAGCTTCATCACAATGCCAGGGCCAGAACTTCAGCCATTTTGGACTTTGCTTTTGCCCAGCTTAGCCAACTGCCTGGACCCAAGTTTCTGTGTGGTGATTGGAATCACACCATGGATGTTTTGGATGTGGTCCCACAGTTGCATGGAGCCGGTTGGATTGAAGTCCAAGACCTGTTTGCTTTGCGCACTGGCGCTGCCGTCAGCATGACTTGCAAAGGGGTGTCGAGGAAGGACTTCATGTTCTTGTCCCCGGAGTTGGCTCGTTCGTTTCTGGATTTGTCCATATGCCATGAAACGTTTGCCGATCATGCCATCTTGTGTGCCAGTTTTGCTGGAGGTGTGTGTCATGTTGAGCGGTTTGTGTGGCCTTGTCCCCAACCTGTGCCTTGGAGTCAAGTTGATGAGCTGCAGCAGCCTGTTTCATTTGATGCCCCGAATGATCCCACAGCTCAGTATGCTGACCTTTGGAGTACCAAAGAGTGTCTTGCTGCCAAGGCACTTCCTGACGTTTGGGTTCCAGCGATGAAAGGCCGTGGACAGCAGACGAAACCACGACGACGCCTGCACACCCAAGCTCCCCTTAAAGCCAGTCGGGTCCATGAGGTTCAGCCTGCTTTCTTTGGGTTTTCTTCTCTGCATGCTAAGCAGTTCCGACAGCTCCGCAGGTTGCAGAACTTTTGCAGGTGGGCTGAAAACAAGAGTGCAGTTGGAACTGCCAATGTTGAACACGGCATTGGACTTTGGAATTCCATCTTGCGGGCTTCTGGATTTTCGCCCAGCTTCTCTGCTTGGTGGCCACACCGCCGCTATGTCTGCCCTGCCGATCCGGTTGATGTGCCACAGTTTTGTCCCTCTCTTGCTGTTGCGAGCCAAATTTTTGAAGCGGTCCTTGCTGAAGTCAGGCTCCTTGAAAGCAGGCTCTCCCAAGCCAAAGCTGCTCACAGGCGATACCAGCATGACCATGACCGACACCTTGTGTTCCGTGATGTCGCTAGACCCTCTGCTGCTCCAGTTGAAACCCTGATTCATGAGGTCCATACCACGGTTCAAGAGGTTGATGCCAGTGAATCGGCGGTGGTTTTGACTGAGCCAGCCACTGTTGATGCCAACATGCCTTTGTGGATTTCAGGCCATGCACATGAGGTCATCCATGCTGAGTATGACAAGGTGTGGCTGTCGACTGTTGACCACATCCAGGCCAATGACAAAGCGGTTCAGCGGCAAGAGATCGGTGACCTTCGTGCCATCTTCCAAGCTTTCCATGAGCAGTGGCAACAGAGATGGTGTCGGCATGACCAGGTGCCATTCACCCACTGGGATGCTGTTGTTGGACTTGCCCGTCGTGTGTTTCGTCCGGTCCCTGTTCCTCACCTGCAGGTCGATGTGCCTCTCCTGTGTGCGGAAACCCACCGCAAAAAGAAGCGCTCTGCCACAGGGCTTGATGGTGTCAGCAGAGACGACTTGGTACAAGCAGATGCTCATACCTTGCAAAGCCTGGTCAACATGTACCAGCGGGCCGAATGTGATGGCAGCTGGCCCGCCCAGCTTTTAGCAGGCAAAGTCCACTCACTGGCCAAGACTGAATCAGCGTCCACGGCAGGACAGTATAGGCCTATAACTGTCTTTGGGTTGCCCTACCGTGTTTGGTCCAGCATCCAGTCTCGACACTTGCTTGAATGGGCCGAGCATTGGGTTGATGACAGTGTGTTCGGCAATCGCCGAGGTCGCCAAGCCTCAGACCTTTGGCACTTTCTTTTGCAACAGATCGAACAGGCCTATGCTTCCAACACACCTTTGTGCGGGGTGTCGGCTGACCTTGAGAAGTGTTTCAATTGTATTCCCCGTTACCCAGCGCTTTGCCTTGCTGTCCTTGCCGGAACCCCCCATCAGGTTACCACTGCTTGGGCTGGTGCGCTGTCGGGCATGTGCAGACACTTCAAGGTCCGTGATTCCTTTTCTGATGGATTTTTGACCAGCACAGGGCTTGCTGAAGGTTGTGGACTTAGCGTCTTTGGAATGCTGCTTGTGGATCACATGTTTTCCTGCTGGATGCGACTGCAAGCCCCCTCCATCTCCACGTTGTCCTATGTTGATGATTGGCAGTGCTACACTTGGGATCCTGACTTTGCTGTTCGACAGTTGGGGTTGGTTGAGTCATTTGCTGCCATGTTGGATTTGACGGTGGACAGGAAAAAGACCTTTGGATGGTCCACTCATGCAGGAGTGCGTGCCCAGCTCCGTGACAGTGGACTTTCGGTGTGTCACCAGGCCCGTGAACTAGGAGGCCATTTTGGCGTTTCCAAACAAGTCACCAACCGTACCATCCAACAGCGGCTTGACGCCCTTGAAGACTTTTGGCCAAAACTTGCCCAGAGCCGCGCCAGGCACCATGCAAAGGTGTTCATGCTGCGTGCTGTTGCATGGCCCCGGGGTTTGCACGCGATCCCCAGTGCACCCCTGGGCGCCAGTGTGTGGACACGTCTCCGTCGGAGAGCAGTCAAAGCCCTAGGGTGGCAAAAGCCTGGAGTTAATTCTCATGTCCTCCTGGGTCTGGTCGAATGTGGAGTTGACCCCCAATACCTTGCCTTGCTGTGGACTTGTCGTTCTGTCCGAGGTAACTTCCCCTCGGATTTTGGGTCTACCCTGTTGGCTCCTGTTGCCCGTGGCCTTCTGGATTTGCCCCCGGCTTCTTTGACTTCCATTGCTTTGGATCGGCTGCAACATGTTGGACTTTCCGTGTCTTGGAGCGGGCAGGTGTCTGATCGGTTTGGCTCTTTCTGCCTTCATACCTCCAACCCTGCTGAGGTTGAAGTGCGGCTCCAGTGGGCTTGGGCTCAAGTTGTTGCCAGTAAAGTCGCACACAGGGCGGAGTTTGATGGACTTGGCCGTGTTGACCTTGCCTCCACCCGCAAAGCCCTGCGCAAGCTAGGCCCAGATGATCAAGCACTGTACCGCCTTGGACTTTCCGGTGGGCTGTTCACCGAATCATATAAGGCCAAGTGGACTGACCAAGATGACCAGTGCCAGTGGTGTGGCAGCCGCGACTCTCTCCAGCACCGATACTGGGAGTGTCCGCAGCACCAAGACTTGCGTGACCTTCATGCACCGCAAGCCCAGCATCTCCAAAAATGGATTCCCCCTGCCCTTGCCTTGCGTGGTTGGGCGCTTCAATCACCCACTCATGAAGCCTGGCTCACCACTCTGCTTCAAATTCCCGCAGAAGCCCCGCCACCTTTTCAGCCTTTGAACCCTGGAATCCTCAATCATGTCTTCACAGATGGTTCTTGTCTGTGGCAATCAGATGTCCGTTTTCGACTTGCATCATGGGCTGTTCTTTTGGCATGTCCAGTGTCCTCTACTTGGAATTTGGGTTCATCCGTTGTCCTTTGTGCTGCTGCCCTGAGTGGACTTTGTCAGACGGCGTTCCGGGCTGAACTGTTTGCTGTTGCCTACATCCTCCATTGGGCTGCGCGTCAGGGTGCTCCTGTTTGTGTCTGGACCGACTGTCTTGGTGTTGTTAACCGGTATAACCTGACTTTCTGGGGCAGTCGGAAGATAAACTTGCACGGGGCCAATGCAGACCTATGGGTTTGGATAGCGCAGTCAGTTGCTATCCTTGGACGAGACTTCATCCAGATCCGGAAAGTGCCAGCACACCGTACCCTGCAAAGTGCCAGGAATTCACGCGAACTTTGGATGTTTTACAACAACAGTTTGGTGGATCGAGCAGCTCGCCTGGCTAACCAGGCGCGACCTCAGGTGTTTTGGCAGCAATGGGAATCTCATGTTGCAGCAGCCACTGCTGCAAACGGGATCTTCCAGCAAGTTTCCGCCCTACAACTGGCGGTGGCTCAACGGCAGGTACGCCATGGACAACCGCATGAGGTGATGGAGCCGGCACCAGAGCCTAAGCAAACCAGACAGTTTGAGCCTTGCTTTGCCTTGAAAGGTTGGAACGGGCAACCACTGCCCAAACTGGCCCGGTTGTTTGGAGGAGATCATGCAGACCGAGTTGCAAAGTGGTTTCTTTCCAGACTTACAATGGGCGCTGATGCGCAGGTGGTTTGGGTATCGATGGCCCAGCTGTACCTGGACTATCAACTTTGTTGGGGAAACCCGGGGCCAATCCGGGTCAACAATGTCTGGGTTGACACGGCCACCAGGCCGTACATTGCGGCGGAGGTCTACCCGTTTCGTACTCGGGTACGATGGTTCAAACAACTGGTCAAAGCCATGGTCAAAGAAGCGGGTATCCTGACATCCTTTCAGCAATGCCGGCCACAATCCACTGCCATTCAAACCTTTGTGCCTTCAATGTCAGTTCCATGGAGCGAACATGCCTTGCGAGAAGTGGATGTGTGGCTGCTCGGCCGCCTGGGTGCCCCGTGCACTAGGGCGGCCGGCAGCCTAGCTACGTTGCCCATCGCTGCTCAAAGCAGCCGAATGGCGCTGTAGACGTAGGCAGGGAACTGGGACACAAGTGCTTCGCTCCCTTCTCTGAGTAAGCATGCCGCCCGAAAACATGGAAAACATGGTGGTTTGGAACATGATTTTTATTTTAAACCCCGAAAGAATCCCGAGAATCCCCCAGTGCCAGGTACCGCGTCGTTGATCTTAGACTCCCGGAAGATCATGCGGATGAAGCCTGCGGCCTGGTGCACACTAGATTACTAGATCGCAGCTGCAGTCAATAGTACACACACATCCCATACATATACATATAATATATATATACATACATATATAATCATATATATATTTATACAATTTTATACAGATATTGATCTATTTACTTATTATTTCATATTATTTCTTTATATATATTTATGTTTATTTATCATTGAATCGTATATTATATATTGAATACCTTATTTCACTAAGTTCAAGATATGACAAACGTACAATAATAAACATAGAAGATCATAGAAGTATCTTGGTGAAAATATAAAAGTTCAGTGATTTGTGATATTTGATGGCAAACATGAGTACGTGCGCATTGTGCTTGCGATACTGGCCACCAAAGGCCAACCTTTCTGCAACCCTGCCATTCACAGCAGCGAGGGGCACGCCTGCTCCCCGCCGAGGGAAGGGAAGTTGATCAGCAGCAACTTTTTCCCCAAGAGGTTTGCCTTGCATGGCCCAGATCAGAAGCAAGTCTTATGGTTCTTATGTGGAAAGAGTGATAATACACCCAAAATGGGACAACCACCAAACCCTGAGTGATGGACCATGATGAACCGATCATCTTTTTCATTAAGCTATGATGGTTTGTTCTTGTGCTCCAGCCAGCTTTCACAAGATACGACCCCTTGCGCCGAGATGCAATGGCATTGGCTGTCATGGTCTTCCCCGTGCCTGGCAAGTAAAGTGGGAGTGAATCGTTTTCCCGCAAATCATGGATGGCGAACCAAGAGAGAAGCTTCAATCTGCAGGCCCCACCAGAGTCTCCGTAGAAAAGCATCACCAGACCGCTGGAGGAAATGGTTTCATCCAACTTGAACTGATGTTTGCTCTTCCTTGCGTGAAACTGCAGCATCCAGCAGTCAGGAAACATGAGCCGACATAGTTAATGAATCTTAATGACATAGTCCAAGTTGACACTTTTGCCAAAAGACCATTTGTGTGCACTGACTTTGGAACCCAAGACATGTTACGAAACACACCCAAACCAGTAAAGGCCACGGGCGGCCATGGCATCAATCGTACCCTATAGCATTCACACCTGTGAGATATAGCCACCACATGCCACCACTACATCTTCTGAGTCTCCCAGCTTTCCAAGTCTTGCCACTGGGATATGCAATCCAAGGCTCTTGAACAACGACAAACTCTGCACAGTTTTTGAGATCAAGATCTTGGTCTCTTCTGGTAGAACCACTGCCTCCATCTTGGTCCTGGGTCACGGGAGCTGCGGAGGCTGCTGGGCTTATCCCCCTGCACCAAGGCCGACAAGGGACTGTGGAAGATACAAATGACTTCCATCCTGGGCTGTGGTCAAATATATCTGGCCAATTCTGGTCATGTCATGCGCAATGAAGCTCAAAGAGACATAAAAAGACTGTTCTCGGATGCAAATGAAAAGTAGTGGCCCCACCGGCGACCGCTTTCGAGCTTCCACCAGCTGTTGCATTTCACTGTCCAAGCCAACAATGAAGTCCACCATCCGCCGGTCAATCTCCACCTCGGAGCCGTGTCCCCTGAAACCCCAAGGGGGAGCTAAGTCGAAATTCCGAAAACCGATCTCCAAGAATATAAAGAAATTAAAACACTGCCCTGGAAGTGGCAATTCACCATACTCAAATCCACTCGCATCTAGAACTATGCATTCGTATGCATTCAAACCCGTTTTCCCGACCCGTTTTGGGGGCTCCAAAATGAGCTGGTCCAGGCCACCAAGGGACAGGACAGGAGGCCAAATCTCCATGCACGCCTTTGGTGCTGACATGGATGATATGATCTCTCACCAGCACCGCATCCTCACATGAAGTGAAGGCTCCATATGGTCATTATCAATCATTCCATATATATATATATATTTATATATATATTAATATATATATATATAATTATATATATATATTAGTGATCCGGCAACAGGTTGGCACATAACTCAAACTTGGAGCTTTCCTGGCTGTTGCGATGCTGACACTACGTACATGTACCTCAAACACCCACCATGCCTATTCCAAAAACAGGTGGCCTTCCCCGTTCCCCAAATCCTTTAAAAAAAAAAGTCGGAAGACACACATACACGCACATGCATATATATATATATATATCTGTGTAATTGATTATAATTGTAATATGTGTCTTTCTTTCTTTCTTTGTTTCTTTGTTTCTTTCTTTCTTTCTTTCTTTCTTTCTTTCTCTCTTTCCGTCTTTCTTTATAGTGAGAAAGAGAGAGATATACAAATGTACACACACATATGTATATATGTATGTATATAATGTATGTAGTATATTTATATATAAATACATTTGTTTGTTTAGTTGTTTATTCATATATATATACATATACTATATACGTATATACGCCTTCCATTTCCAGCACAGCACCCCATCCCATTCCCCCCCCATTCACTCCTTGTAGAAGGCCTTGCGGTTGGCAATCTGACTGGCCAGGTCCGGGGACAAAAAGACCAGCACTGTGGCCACATCCACCGGCTCTCCACGGCAGTGGTGGTACATGCTGGTGCCCCGGATCTGAAAGCGGTTCGGCAGCAGGATGAGACCCACCAGAAGGACCACCTGACACAGTCGCCACTGGGAAGAAGGGGAAGATGGAAATGGACCCATCGTTTTCTATGATTGTTCTGCAAAAGCACTTCCCACTTCAAGTGTTTAATTAGTCTCCCAAGCAGAATAGGGAGCTACACGGAAGATTATCTGCAATGAACATCAATGAACTGGATGCAGGTGACACACTGACCGCCCAAGGCTGCTGTCAGGGTACCACTTCCTTCTCAAACTCGTTCATGTGCCTGGCAGCTGGAAGCTTTTCCGCGATTATCCCCGGTCGATTTGAGGAAATCGATTGGACGGCACGGTTTGTACCATGACAGCATTGGTGTGTTCGCACAATAAATCTGTCCCGCAAGCCGCAGGCCGGCAACCATCCATGGTACCATCTGGACTTGAAAGCTGCAACAAATGCCCCTGAAAGAGGGTCTATATGATATGTTGTCATGTCTTCTCATGATACATGGATACATGGATTCAAACCTGATACTGTATTATGGTGAATTCATGTTGCTTTCATTTGCTTTCTGCCCTTGGGATGCCTGTTACCCACAGCTGAATCGTTGGGTGCAGCGGAGTGCAGCGGGCCTGGATGATAAGATCCTTTCGAGTCTTGGAATCCATGCATTTGGAATCTGCTTCGTCAGGCGCATCCGCTCCTGCGCCACAGGGGCCGAAGGTGTCGCAGGGGAAGGACCAGGCCTTGTTTGTCTTACCCATGGGACAACAGAAGTGCACAGCTGAACTCCACTTTCAGTCTTCAACCTCGAGAAAAAATATACAGTAAAATGTGATTGCATCCCAAAAAAAAAACGGAGCAACTTCAATAGTGGTTTGTTGGGCTACCTTACTTAAACCCGTGTGTTGCTCCTAGGGGGGGTCCAACCCGTGAAATAGTAGCCTCCACTGGCTGTTTTCCAGACGGGCCTGACCCCCCCCATACCCCTTCTGAGCATTTCTGAATGAATAAAATCTGGGGGCCCAAGTATAGCATTTGTAAACCAAACATTTATGCTAACACTCAACTTGGACAAGGGTACCCATACTTTGGAGCATTTTGGACGTTCCGAAGTGGTGAAAGGTCAGGCCCCTCAAAATATGTTGGGCATGTTGTGAATATTTTGGACATACATTTTTTTATCTGTGAATCTTATGAAACCATGGACCTCCTGGATTTTAGCCATAGTTCTTTTTCCCCTGCATGCCACAGATAAGCTGGCCACTTTGAAAGGTTCTCAACAGAGATAAAGTTGACAAACATGTCACAACTAACTTCCCAAAAAAAACACTTTTTGCACACCTTTAATGCCAGTTGTTTTTAGAGGGATTCATCATTCACCTATCAAGGTTAGCGGATACAGATGTTCTTTTCAGGTTTTCCCTCCAAGCTTCAAGAGCAAACAAAGATTGGACAAGGTGAGATGCTGGTTTCCAGGATTCGGTAGCCTTTTTTTGGAATAAATTTCAGTGGTTGTCCTTGATGTGCGGGTTCAAAAAACGGATTTCAGTGAGGAGACTTTGTTCTGGATTTGATTTTTTTACAAATATGATAACGGACATAACGGATGATAACGGTAAACATGTCAGAACCGTCCCAAGTAAATAAACTTAGTGCAAGTTTTTTTGATGCTGATTTGCCGAGGGGTTGATATCTCAAGGTTGGGGACACAGGTTTTATTTCCTGCATTTCTAGCCTAGCACCCCGCTAAGTCGAAGCAGCTATCCGGGAGCTAAAGGTGGACCGGGTGAGACGTTACCGTTGGTATCCAGGATTTGGTTGAGTGTTTTCTGGATCAAGTTCAATATTTGTCCTTGATTTGAAAGTTCAACAAAAAATAGATTTCAAGAGGAGATAATATTGACAGGGTTTCCGATTCTGTGGTACGAAAGTTGATAAACATTTCCAAGAAATAAAATGTGCACCTTTGGTTGATGCCTGTTTTGCAGAGGGGTTCATCTATCAAGGTTGGGGACATAGATTTTATTTCTTGGTTTTTCCTTCAAGATTGGCCCCGCTAGGTCGAAGCAGCTATGCGGGAACAGAAGAAACACAGGATTTGGCAACCTTTTTGTTTGGGTCAAATTCAATATCTTGACCTGAAAGTTCAAAAACAATAAGGTTTCAGGGTGAGAACATATTTAACGATGAGTTTGATAAACATGGCAGCAATGCTCAACAAAATAAACTTCATGCACCTTTGTTACAGTTTGATGCCAGTTTTTGCAGGGAATTTCATCAATCAAGGATGTTTTTTTCCTTCCTTTCCAATCAAAGGTGCAGGTTGGACCTAAATTGAACGGGCTGACATCTGAAAATAAAATAGGTAACAAACCTCAAGTAGGATGAACATAAAATTCAAAGAGCCCAACCTTCCAAAGATAAAATCAAGGTGCCTGACCTAAAATTGGAATGAGACAAAATCCAAGGGCTGGACCCCCTTTGGGTCCTCTTTGGAAGCGAGTACCCTTGAGGGGACCTAGGGGGTCCAGCCCCTTGGAATTTATCTCACACTTATGATCGGGATAAAATCTAGCATGTCTGCAGATAAAATCAAGGGACCTATCGTCAAATTTACTAAAAAACTAAAAAAAATAGCCATGCACCCCCGGGGCTGGAGCTCCTAGATCTCAGCTGGGAGCAAGCAACGGGTATCTTACTTTGCAGCCAGATTCTTATGGGCATGGCTGAAAACCGATGTTCCACTACAAACTGTATGGTTTGCAACATTTTGCAGCACTACAAAATCAAGATTTAACCAATGGTGTGGGTTTTCTTGTGTATACCACATCAGGAATGTAGTAAACGCAATGGTGAACGCATCCATTATGTTTGGTATGGTTCCCAATGCCCCCGATTTCCGGGTCATTTCTTGTCAAAAAAATGTGGAATACCACACAAAACATATGGCGAATCATCATGTTCCTTGTTAATTGACGCCATAAAATGGATTATCCCAAATTATCCCTCATTTGGGGACCCAAATCCATGACTCATTAGTGAATGTTCTACTTTTCATGCTTGCTAATCACGATTCTCATGCATGTTCGCATATTTTCTCCATCAACATTGCCACTATCATGGGGAATATGCCGATGTACCAGCCATTTTCAGACACCACCCACATTTCTGATGACCTCCATCTTCCTGCTGAGCTGCTTTACCTGGCCCTCCAGCTCTCGAGCCTCACCATCTTTCAGGGTGAAGGGGAACAAAAAACCAGGAAACCCGTTAGTTTTTACATATAGTATATACATAGGTTTTTACATGCTATGAAAATTATGAAAGAATATCCTTTGGAGTATATTATAGTATATATAGTGTGTCCCTGGGATTTTTTTTCTATCAAAATTTGGAACATGGGGATTGAAGTAACCAGGGAGAACTAGGGATAGAAGGTGGTGGCAGGTCAAGGCATGCTCGTTTTAGTTCAATGATCGCCATTGGTTAGAATGAAGTGAAACTATATAAGTAAGTAGTCTGACATCACGGATCATGACGGCGGCTTAATGCTACTTTCCCCCGGCCTCTTGATATTTTCTAGCATCAATATCACGGATTCTTTTAAAAATCCACTGGTCACGCTATCAAACACCTGAAACCCCAACACAGCGCAAATACACTTTGGGCAAATTGTTCACAAAAATGAGCAGCTGCCACCTGATATGGCTCAGGCCACCAATGAACTTCTTCAACCAGCAGCCGTGGAGATCGGCCCCTGGCATCCCCCGGGCCTGGCGGCGCTCACGACCAGCATCGTTGCGTGGCCGCGGCAGGAAGCTGCTGAGCCCGAAGTTGGTGTCTTGATAGCTCTCCTGGAATGAAGGGCAGGGATGGGATGCCGTGAGTTCACCAAGGATTTCTCTTGTTCTTTTGTTGACGATTTTTTGTGTTCCTAGAAGCTGAAGCTCTGGAAACAATGAAACATAATGAAACAGAAAGTTGGGGAAGATTCGATACTCATGTCATGTTCGCCCAGGAATGCTGACCTCATTGTCTTCATCATCAATGGAGCTCTTCTTCTCTTCCAGCTTTTGTTTCACCTCTAAGGGCAGGTGTGTGGAGGATTTCACACCAGCTGGCACTGGTAGATACAAGTCATACAAACGGTGCTGGAAACTTCTCATGTCCAGTGTCCTTTAGGGACCACACCATTTCCATCTTGGTGTTGAATCTTGAAGCAAAACCTTTACTCAGTCGAAGGTCAACACCCCTCCCTTGAAGTTGCAGCAGTTCTGGCCTGATAAAGCCGACCTTTCCTGGAGACAAGCTCGACAGCATCAACGAGGTATTCCAAGTCAGTCTTGTAGGGTGTCAGTTTCCCTTCATCAATCACTTCTGTCAGCTCCTCCTGCGCTGGTCATGGTGGCATGGCATTTAAACCAGTGTTGATGCCAAGATTGCTGTACCGCTACTATCAGCTACTGAGCTACTGGGTGCTTTCAGGTTCTGCCTGTTCGCTTTGATTTATAATGACTCTCCGGTTCGTGGCTTCAATATCTTCAATCCGTCCCGGCAAATAATATGAGTCACCTGGTGTGATCTTCCAAAATGTATCGGGATTGAACAGAAAACTAGCGTTCCAAACAACATCTGGCTGGTGAGTTCGCAAGAATATCATGTGTGAAGCATGCAAGGCACGAACAAAAAGCACAACCAGTGAATGATAGTTAATGATCCTTAAGGTCAACTGCCCCACGTTTTCCAGGCAAAAACTATCAAAAACTGTTGACATTTATCGCCAGCGCACTCGCCAGACCTTGGCCTCTGCTCGTTGCTCATCCCGCCGACGCTCAGAGTTGATGATGTCAAACAGGTCCTCCATGGAATGAAGGAAAAATCTGCAGGAAACCATTCTTTTTTTCGTCCCAACTATAGGGGTTTCTGTAAATTCTATGAAATTCTCGCATTATCCAACTAGCGAAAATTCAAGAAGGATGTTGACCATGTGACCCTTGAAATCCTTTTTGAAAGGCAATGCAACATAGTTCCAAAATGTTCCAAATGGAATGAAATATCCCTCTTTGACAGCTCTTGAACATTGGGTTTTGTATCAAGGCTGCTGTATGCTTGCACCTTGGCCGCTAGCCTTACCTGCGACAACCTTGAAGGCAATTATAATTAACGATAGTGACCACCCTGGGGATGAAAATGGACGAAACACGATGGCCACTTCCATGGTTGTTTCAGAAGGTGGTCCTTAAGTACCTATAGGACATCTATAGGACATCTATAGGACTATAGATACTATAGGACCTATACCTTGCTATTCAAACATGCCACCGGTGGCCACCAGCCGGCTCCTCACACAAGTCCTCGGCCTGGCATTTCAGTTCATTGCGGTAGGTTTTTACTTGTTATTACTTTTCCATTTTTTCCGGTCTCCCCCCATTAAAATCACTGAGGTTTCTTGGCATATATGATGCCATTTATCCCATAAAGTCACAATGTGATTTTTAGCCAATGCCATTTTTTCCATCCCCAAGTCATCGAACCATTTTTGTAAAATTCAAACCATCCCAAATGTGTCATGGTAGGTGCCTCCGCCGCCGGCTCCGCCTTCGCGACTGCCACGGCTGCATCGGCGTCGGATGGCCTTTTTTTGGCAGCCGCTGTTTCAGGAGATGTGGAAAACATGAGGGTTGATGGTAGATGGAGAAAAAACATGTATCAACATATATGATGGTATTTGTATGTATTTGTTATACTATGTATGAATATATAAGGTCGCAAAAGGCATAGACTTTACGAACAGGTTGTGGCGTTTGACAGTGTGGAGTCACCCAGTTCTGGCGAGTTGCTCCTCCAACTTTGCTTTTTTGGCAGTGCCTGAGCAACCAGGAACCAGCTCCACCATATCACAGAGAGAAATTCAGCGAAGCTTGTGGCCCCCGACAAGATACAAAAACATCATGAAGAAAGAATTGGGTCCCAAAACTATTTTCACACCATGCCAGCCCAAATTGGTCAAATCAACTCCAACTGCAAATGACGTCACTTAACCAAATCAAAAGATCAGCCCCTCATCTCATGATTCATGGAGCTTTGATAGCTGAGAGGCCATTCACGACGTCTTCAGGACTGGGGCGCTTCTCTTTACTGCTCTTCTCCTCTGCTTCTGCCTCTGGTTAGGTTGCTTCAAACTGGGAGGATGCTATCTGCATCTAAGGACTTATCTATGCATGCGCATCTTTATTACGCAAGTTGTATATGTTGTATCTAATATACCTGAACAAGATCCATGTAACCCATGTCTTTGGATCATAATCTTGAAGAAAACTTCATGTCTGGAAACGCTTTAGACTCAAGGATTCCCGTTTCGGAATTTTGGAGGATGCCAGGCTTCACTTGGGACTCCCAGCCTCTTTGGCAGCCTCCTTGAGCGCTTCAGCCTCATCTCCACCTTCCTCACGCAAGACTTCGGCCAGTGCTCCGTCGTCCACTTTCAGACGCTCCTGGAAGGTTGCGCGTGGCGCAAGGGGGTGGTGAGATCATCTTCACCAACCCAATCCATGGCTGATCTTCAAAATATGACGTATATCATATCATTTAATACATATGCGCACACTGCACACTTTACATAAATACATAATAATGCGTATATATATATAATGTATTGTTTATTATTGATTTGACATCGGATGACCAATGGTTGACACGTTGGGGTCTCACATGGACTGATTCCGTCAAGCCTTCTTCCACAAAACTGTAGGGAAAGAGATCTAACGCCGGGTTTTGAAGGGAATGGTGTGCGGTGGCATACGTACTCGCAACATCTGACTTCTGCTGTGCATTCGTATGTATGCTGCTTTTGAGATATCAAAACCAGCTGGCTTGAAAACTGGCCTGATATCTTTGTTGGCCATGGTGAAATGCTGACCCTACATGAATAAACCATAATACACCCACGCTGAGGTGGTAGATATGTTCGAGTCTATTGGTTCCGACCTTCACTTGACATTGAAAAGTCAGTAGTGAAAGTCAGCACTGATGCTCTTGGCGTCAGCGACTGGACAATTTGCAGCAGTCAATATTTTTCCTGTAGTTTGTTGACACCAAATTCGGTCTTAGTATTCTCCGGCAGTCGGTCTATATTCACTAATTGGTACTAATTGTATATAGAAAGTTATGAATGAAGAACTGCTGCCTCCAAAACACCTAATTAATTACTCCAAAAACACCTCTATGTTTTGGAGCTCTGCAATACATGCCAAGTTTCCCTTTCGATTCTCGGCCCCAGATCCTCCCCAGATCCCAGGTCTCCGTAACTGAGAGCTGCGCGCCCGTCAACGCTTTCGCCGCCTCATTGGTGAACACGGCCTGACCCACGAGCTCATCATCTGGGTGCCTGGAACCAGCCCCGGAGGGGTGGCCGGGGAAGACGGAACACAGGTCCCATTAAGTGGATACCAAAATAAATATGCCACATATATATTATTCTCATGAACCACATACCAACTGGAACGCACTAATCCCTTCCTCCTAATACTAAACGTCCCCCAAATACAAAAAACAGGCGTCCATCTCCAATTTCAGAAAATTTCAGATTGGCCAATGTGACTCTTAATTGATCCCCTTTAGAAAACAATTTTAAAATAAAGCTACCATTTGTGGGTTTTCCCCCCTAATACTAAAGACTAGTTCACCCTGGGGTGTTTATTATTAGGGTCCGTCCGATTTTTTTTAGTTTTTTATATTAACGTTTTTAATTTAGTATTTGGGGGAAGCTTCGAAATCCAAATTTTGGCAATATTTTAATTGCGTTATATAAAGAAATTTAATTGATTTTGAGATCGGAAAAAATAGTTTTTATTATTAAGGGTTTTAATTTAATATTAGGGGGAAGCTTCGAAATCCAATTTTTGGCAATATTTTAATTGCGTTATATAAAAAAAATGATGTTGAGATCGGAAAAAATAGCTTTTATTATTAAGGGTTTAATTTTATTAATAGGGTTCCCTAATAATAAATACTCCCCTAATACTAAAAACTACCTGCCGTGTTTAGTAATAGGGGGGGGCGTTTAGTATTAGGAAGGGATTACAAATGTGAATTGACTGATCTGACTTTCTCCTTCAAGTAGCTCCATCCAATCCAAAATCTGACTGAATTCTGACTGAATTGGTGGATTCCACAGAAATGGTGCCCGATGCCTATCCGGATCACCGGAAAAGCCCACAGTGACGTCCGTCAAAATGCCTGCGCACCGGGGAGCACGGGGGAGCACGGGGGAGTGCTGGCAGGCTTGGGTCCAAACTCAGGAGTGAAGATGCCGAAACGCTGGAAAATAAGGTATGGTTGAGCCATGAGGCACCCATGGGTGAATTTATGTTATGTTTTTGATTGAACTATTTGGGGTTGAGATTTTGACTCGTATCCAAATGATGTCCTGATTCCTGATGATACAGTACTTGTTTTTGTTTTTTGGTTGGGTTCCCTGAAACCATGTGAGATATGAGTTGGCTATGGCTTATCCCAAGTGGCTGGAGATGAAGAAGTCACGTCACGAGAAATCACTACCTGTACGGACTTACAAAATATATAAAACATGCATATACCGATATAATCCGGCATATTGATAATTATATATAAATATTAAAAATATTAATTATGATATTATAATCCTCTGGGTCCCTTGTTGACTTGCTGGGATCAATGATGTGGCTCCGGTCAAGCCACTGTCATCAGGATGCAACAGGTGCACTTGAACCTGGCCACCAACCACCCCAGGCGCAACCAGTGCCTTGCTTGAAGTGCGCACGGCTCTTTTGCGCAAAGCGGACCAGCTCACCTCAATTGCCAAGGCAAATCCAGGAATTCCGTGATCACCCAAGGTAAATCAAGGTAATGGGTCCAGCTGTGGCTTGGACCTCCTCAACTGGTGTAACTGGTGTCATGCAATGTGATTTCTAGATATTTCTATCAGATATTAATTGATTAAGGCCAAAATGACAAGCCAAGCACTGGGCACCAACCAGTCACACAGGTCAATGGATGGAAACAACCCTGCAAGCAACGGAACCCCCCAAGCACCTGAAGATAGCACGCATCATCAGCTAGTCCAAAACACCAACTTGCCGAACCAGAAAACAACAGAATACAATGCTGACAATACTGATACTGCAGCAATCCACAGCATGTCTTCCTCAGGGCCAATTCCGCCATCGGTTCCAGTCATCTGAATCCATTTGGTACAGGGTCTAAGTAACCCTCCTCTCCCATGGGATTCAATCAGCCCTCAATCCCAGCCCCCAACTGCATCAACTGCAAAGGGCTGGGGCTCAGCTTGGCATAAGCAGCCAATTCCATCCAGCTTTTTAACTCACGGAACTTGTCCGGCAAGCACTGCAAGACCAAGGCATGCCTTGGATCTGGAGTCATTGGATGTTCAGTGAGCATCCAACCGGGCAAGTTTACGGTTGGCCACCATCTTCGTTCTTGTGATTGAACTGATATTGAACGCCATTGATGGCATCATGGCGTCATACCATGAGAACATTCCTATTTTCCAAAGGGGCCTATCGATACTGTAGCATTTACCCTTGAGGAATCCAGCATGGCAATGACTCCCTCGGACTCCTCAAATGCCAAGTGACTCAAAGGCTTTCACCTCCTTCTCAGACAGCTCCAAGCGTCTGGGAAGTGCTTATGGTTTGCCATAGGAGGAGTGGAAATAAGCATGTGGCACATCTGGAAACTGCCAAGAATGCTGTATGCCATGCTATCGAGGGGGGTTGACCCCCGTGAAGATTCAGATGGAGCGTGAAATAATTTGCAAAATGTTATATTTGACATATTTTATAATTATTATATTTCATACATTTTAATAATACTCAAGTGAAGACATGTTTTCGACTGGGGATGATGTGAGAGCTAAGCGTTTTCAAAAGGGCACAACAAGACCCCATGACAAAAGCACGTCATCTAATTGAAGCAAACCCATGCAAACCCTCTACTGACAACCCCCGTTTTTCCTTAAAACTCGGTCAGCAATTGAGATTTGCATGTTGCAACATCTTCACTTCATCGTTTTGTCACCTCGACCTATCTTGACGCCATGTCTTTTCGAGCCCGGTGTTGTCCCCCAGCTTCAGCTCAGACGCTTCACTACCCGGCTAAACCTCGGTGGCAACCTCGGCCGGGCTCTGTGGGAATACCATGGAGTACCCTCTGGTAAACTAACATAGCTATGGAAAATCACAATTTTTAATGGGAAAACTCACTATAAATTGCCATTTTCAATAGCTATGTTAGTTTACCAGAGGGTACCAAAAAATTTGAAGACCTTGGGAAAGCCCACAATCGTCCACAACCCATCGGCGAAACAATGGTCGGAATTCTGCATTCAATTCACAGTCTTCGATCCCTGCAAAATGGCCTTAAATCGCCAGGGCTTGATCACTAGATTCATGCTGCCTCCAAGTTACACTTTGCTGTCATCCGTTTGTGCTGCTTCAAGCTTTTTCACCTCCAATGCAATAGAAGTTTCAACTGCTGGCAGTGTTCAAGTAGGCACATGGATCGATCATTCAACATGGGCCAAACATGGCCAAACACAGGATTCATCTTCCTTCAATCCTGGCTGGAAAAACCATAAATTCGAGGTAGTGGGTGCCATTCATGGGGTTCCTTATGGTTCCCTGGGTTGCGGTTTGACTGGTGGATACTGGTGGGTAGCCAAGCTTGGAATCCCATTGAATTCCAACATCTCCAAGAGCCTCAAGAACTGCCAGAAAGGCGCAGCAGTCCTTCAGCGCGGCTTTGAGATCACCTGAAGCCGGAAACTGGATGAACTGGATGAATTCCGTGGATAATGCCTATGGTAATTTAACATAGTTATTGAAAATGGCCATTTATAGTGAGTTTTCCCATTGAAAATGGTGATTTTCCATAGTTATGTTTAATTACCAGAGGGTAATGCCTATGGTCGGGGTAACAATTTGACATCCACATAGACATGATCTATGTACAAGTGGGGTGATGAATCACATATGGCAATCTATCCAGCTGTTCTCATTAGGGCTGCTATAGGGTTCCAAGGCCGAGTGGATGATCTCAGCAGCCAACGTTGTCTCTCCAAGAGCGGCAGTAAGTTCGTTGCCTCGGGTGCCAGCACGGTGGCATGGGGGGGGACTCCTTGATCGGCGCATTCCCAAATGGATGGACTTGGTTCAATGGTCACTTAACGGCTCTATCTTTTGTTTGTTTTTTTGTTTGTTCTAGTTTTGTCTGCGTCTTTATAGGTTAAACAGCACTCCTTTAAAGCAGTGAGTGTGTCATTCTATGTGTGTGCTACTTTTGTTTCGGGTTGATCACCGGTGCAGCCATGTGCAGCTTGCAGCACGGGGTTTGCCCGTGGGTTTGTCTGAAAAATGCCCCCCCCCCAAAAAAAAACAATGATCTGAAACCTGCTTTTCCCCTATGGAAATGTCCATATATTTTTTGGGGGGGACATCCAACGGTATCCCGCAAGTTGGACAAACTCCTGTGCCACTGGAAGCCTCTTTTGTCACTCGCCTTCCTCTGGTTCTGTGACCAAAACCTTATCGAAGAGATGAGGCCTTGGCACAGCTGACAGCTATGGCGGGAAGCAATGGGGGCTTGGAAACGAACCATCCTGGATCCATGTATATTATGTGTATATATATATGGTTGTTGATCAAAATTCCTTTATCCCGGAACGGCCATTCTTCGCGAATAAAAATTTTACTTGCGCGAAACTTTCGCGAACTCCATGTTTATCTTTCGCGGGGCCCATGTTGGCCAACAACACCTCTTATGAAGATTCGTTCACCACCTGCCAAATTACGCCAGAGAATCACGGATCACTTCTTGGTAGCCTTTTAAACATGCAGCTAGCATCACGGAATCCCTTCTCAGGACAGATTTTTTGCAAAGTTTACTGGCCCACCCCCTTCAACATGCACTTTGACTTTCGCCCGCTCTTTCGCATAACTTTCGCGGAACTTTCGCAAAAATATCCCTATTCACAGACCCCGGCCATCAGCAGGGGGTGGACTGAAGGAAAAGCGAAGACCAGGGGGCCTTGGTGTTTGGCTCTCGCAAAGCCTCACTTTTGGAAACTTGGCTACTGCTACTCGCATTCTCTGGTGCCCTTCTCCTGCCGGACCCCGGGCGGCAGTGGGTGGCAGCCCTTTACATATAATGAATATAATACCCAACTTTCGCGAAACTTTCGCGAAATAAAATTTTACTTTCGCGAACTCGAAAAAAACTTTCGCGAGGGTTTCCAACATAACATGCACGGCTTTCGCAATTAAAACTCCTTACAAGGACCTTTAGATCGATCACCATATATGTATATATATAATCATTATATTATATTATATTATATTATATTGTAAATCTTATTATATATATATATATGTGTCAGCCGCTCCTTGCCAGTCTTTTTTCTGATCACGCCAGAGTTGTCTCAGAATGCCATTTGGCATATACTGCAGGTTCACTGGTATCCAACCCACCATTCAAAGTTCCACGGCAACACCAGCAAAGTACTGGTACATCCATGGTCCATGGATAGCTGCCCCAGCGATCGCTGGTCAAACAAAGAAAGGTTGGAACCAGCAGCCATTCACTGCGCAACAAGAGACCCCTTCCGCCCCGCCGGAACTTAATCCGCGGAGGGTTGGGTGGGAGCCTCAAACTGCAGTGAATAACGGCCTGATCCTCAATCAAGCAAAGTCCCAAGCAACACATGCCTACTGACATGTCATAAGAACATGTGTCAGCCGCTCCTTGCCAGTCTTTTTTCTGATCACGCCAGAGTTGTCTCAGAATGCCATTTGGCATATACTGCAGGTTCACTGGTATCCAACCCACCATTCAAAGTTCCACGGCAACACCAGCAAAGTACTGGTACATCCATGGTCCATGGATAGCTGCCCCAGCGATCGCTGGTCAAACAAAGAAAGGTTGGAACCAGCAGACATTCACTGCGCAACAAGAGACCCCTTCCACGGTCTCCACTCTGGCAAAGCCGGGTGTCATCATGGATCCAAAGCTTGAGCGGCCAACCTAGCATGCGTGCGTTGGGTTGGTGTTAGTTTCAGTTGAGAAACTGTAGCGATTGTGTCTTGTATGTAGATTCGGGCTGTGGACGTGCTAGACCAACGCCCTCGTAGGAGCGTCTTTTCCATGCTGCCATGCATCAAAAAGGCATGGGTAGCTCCTCCCCGTCTGAGAGAATACACTGCAAAGAGGCCTGTAAGTTGGAAATGGGCAACCAGATTCTTGAACAATTGGCGGAATGATGGTGCACCGTCAACCAAAAGAGGGCTGTTGGGCGCTCGATTTTGGCAGGCACGTCTGAGGAATTTCAGGGCCAGGCGGCTTTCCACCACAACCATTTCAGCTGAACTCTTTCGTTTTCCTGTTTTTGTGTCCCGCAAAGTGATGACAGCATTTTGCGAGTAGAAGGATATGTCCTTAACCTTGAGCAGATAGATCTCACCCGGCCGGAGCAGCGCGTCAAACGCGGTTAAGATGCAAGCAGCTTCGGACACTTTCCCTGCTATGATACATGCCCCTGCAAAAGCACGGGTGAGCAAAGGGCTAATAGGTACCACTCTTTCCGGTGGCTCAATCTTCTGCCATGCTTTTGCCAACTTCCAGCTCATACGGAGGTTCCCCACAGCTGGTGGGAGATGGTACTGGATGCTGGCCAAGCCATCACTTGCCAAGCTCTTGGGCTCGCCTTCAAAGAAAATGTGTTCGATCCAACTGCACACTGCCTCATCCAGGTCTTCCATGGCTGAAACAGCCATTGCACAATCAGCAAAGAACTGGGTGACGTGGATCAAGGCAAACTGGTATCGCTTCAGCAGCTGGGGCGTTACGAGCGACTCCCGCAGGTTCAAGCCCCTTCTTTTGTGCTGCCTTTGCAGGCGGTTTTCTTGGCTCCTGACCATCGCGATGGTATGTCTGCAGGGTTTTCTGAGGTGTGGCAGTATCCAATAGAGAGTCGAATCCCAGCTGTCACTAGGAGGCAGTTCAGTTTTTGGAGACTTTTCCTAAGACGAAAGGAGGACGTTCGTCCTTTGGCTGCGACGCTGGCCACCACCTGGGAATCGACCAGGTGCAACACCCTTTTCCTGTAGTTGGCTAGCCTACGCAGCCTCCACTGCAGACTATTTACGACCCCTTGCAATTCCAGGGCGTTTATGTGGCTAGTATGCTTCCACTTATAGCCGTGAACTATACGCCAGCCGAAATAGCTGGTGCGGAGTCCCGCTCGGGGAAATGCCTTGAACCGAAAAGGTATGCCAACATCCAAACGAATATCCGTGCCAGCCCTATCCCCCTGCCGCAGGATTTCATGGACAAGAAGTGCACATTGGGGGTCTGGTTGTGTGGTCTTAACAAACTTCGGTACTTCAGTCCATCCAGCTGGAGCAGTGCCAACACTTCTAACCATCATAGCTATGTTTCTAGGTTCAGTGCAAGCGAAAAGACTTTTAATCAAAGCATGACACAAGACCCCTACGGCGTGCACGTGGAAGGTGTTACCAATCATGCCACAACCTACCCGAAACTTTTCAGCGTCAGACATTTTAGAGGGCAAACAATTTGAAACATACCCTTCATCAAAACCCATCAAACGTTCCCTTTCCACCAGGCTAGGTAAACGCCAACAAGATCCCATCCAAAGTAAATGGGGGTTTTCATATTGGTACACCTGGAACTGAAACCGGTCCTGTGTCCAACGTTGTCGAGCTTCATGACTCGCGGTGGCGATGCCCGCTGGCTGCAACGGCGCTGTTGCACGTGGCAGCGCTCTAGTGAAGGTGGGGAGGCACTCCTGCCCAAGATGCTCCCAACCTGGGTCAACCCAGTGGCCATGCTCCTGCCTAACATCTGGAAACTTCCAGCGCAGGAAAGTTCCTTCGTCAATCAGCTTCTCATCTGCCTGAGGGTCAATGTCCCAGTCAACCCAATACAAACGTGGTCTTTTTACCCAAGAGAAATCGCTTGCCAATATCAGGATGGGTCTCACTCCCAAAACTTCCGTAAACTGATCTCGTGCCTCCGCTGTCATTGAGTACACATTCTCCACCAGCAGGGCTGTGCGGCCCGTAAAACGGCGTTTGCAGAGTCCATGGATGCGTGGGATATGAAAGAACAGCTTCGATCTGTTCCCCTCCAGGCCCTTTCGGTTAGCTAGCAACGCTGTGAGATCTTGACAGGGACTACCCGCAGAGATGAGCAAGATATCAATCTTAAAACCCAGCGAGTTCATCAAGGACGTGATCACCGTGTCCGTAATGTCCTCGACCTTGCCAAGTTCGATAACACCAGGCCAGCGTTTTCTCACCAGCCGCTTGCATTCACGGTCAATTTCAGACGCGGCAAAGCCCACGACCTGGCAAGGAAGCCGTGTCAAAGCGCACATGACTGCTGCCACTCCATCAAAAAGCGAAAGCACAAACACTTTCGGACCTTTTGGGTCCTTTACAGGCATCTCACCTGCCGCGTGGAAAGGGCTCATCCTTGACTCAGCGTACGCGCCACTCTGGAGGGTCTCTAAGGTGGCACGTCCTTCATCGGTTAACTCATGAGAAACACACAAACCACCTCCGGTTTCTGATGCATCGCTGGCGCTCACCAGCCCATCTACCTGAGACCTCAAGTTGGCAACTGCCATGGGCATGAGGATGCAGCCTCTGATCAAAGAACGGATCGTCTCCCTCTTTAGCGGCATCCTAACATGTGGCGGCACAGTCGGCCAGCACTCCCTCAGGGCACTCATGAGGGGGCGCCTGAACTCAAAGCAGCGCACCATTCTGCCCAACACCATCAGAGCGCCCTTCGCCAGGGGCAAACGCTGTCCAAAGAGCCACAAAGCAAACCCGATTACCTCTCGTCTTTTTGTCAAGGGAGCAGACAGCAGACCTTTCACTCCATCAATCTCAGCCCCCATACGCACGACTTTTGTTTCCCTGCTTTGAGATTTCTTCAGGGAAATGGCCACCCCATTGACATCATAAGCCGCCCTCTGTCGGCGCTGCAACTCGGAGACAGTCCCTTGCAAGGAGGCAATGTCAGCAGTGTGAACAATTTCAGGGGCATCGAAATCATCAAGATAATACTGAATCCAGTGAGTGAGCTGGTGCTGTGAGTCTTGGGGCACGGCCCTGTCACGTCGCCACTCCTGCCATTCCTGGAACCCTGCTCCTGCAGGGGGTGGTTGAAGCCCCAGTTGCCTATGGAGGTGCTGAAATAGGCTTACCGCATTTAACCATCCCATGGGTATAACTTTTGAACAGACATACACCCACTCACTGGGATACCCCAGCAGTGACCCTGGCACCGGCCACCTGAACGTCATCAGGCCACGCCAAGCTGGAGGCAACTTCCAAGCGTAGAAGGCTCCCTTCTGATCGTCGGATGACCAGAGGAGACAGTGGTCCTGAGGCAGCACAATTGACGCCCAATTTGAGGCACTACTCAAGGTAAGGAGGTCCCCTCTCATCAAAACTTGATAGGCATTTGAAGGTGTCATGTTCATGATAAAACGTGTGATCCGAACTTCACCTGGAGCAGCAACCCCACTTTTAGAAACGGCAAAAGCACCGTTCAAAACCATGACACCATCCACTGAAAAGATCTCCTCCTTCGGGATCACTGCCAGGATATTCCGCTGATGCAGTTCTTTCACAACGCGATACCACTCAGATTTGGTTGCATTTATCTTCGCAGTTGGGACCTTTGATGGCCACATCTCACGTGGTTTAAGGGTTTTTTCTGGGTTCCCCAGCCACGCCTGCACCTCATTGTCAGCCGTCCTGAAAGCATCCAGGCTGCCACCAACAGCTGCATCAGGAAGCCCTGGCTGCAACTCCTCCAGGCGCAAGGGAAGTGCATGGGTGACCTCATCCCCCGAGTAATCAAGACTTTTTGATTGCATTAACTGCCTGAAATTGGGAAGGTTCCAAGACTCAAGTGGGCTACCACAGAAATCCCGTACATGTTCCCCAATCATCTCAAGGGCAGCAAGTTGAGCTAAGGAGGGTTTAGCAGGCAACAAAGTTGGGGCCCCACACCAATCTAAGTATTCCCCATTAAGAACGGTCACCACCAACCAACGCCACAACTGAACCATCCCTTCAAGGCACAGCTTACGTGCTTGTTGTCTTGGCATTTTCTTTACAACCGCAACATCAACATTTACAAGACCCAATGGTGTGACGGGAAAAAGGGAAATCACCTTGATGGCTGCTCCTACTGCAGGACAAAATTGGAAGGGTAGCAAATCCCTTCGGGTGGGCGTGTCAGCAAAACTTTTCTCTGTCTGGCGCAAAAAGGCCATCACGTGGTCTCCGTCTCGCGGATGAGCTAGCAGGAGCTGAGCCAGTGAGATTCCCACTTGCAAACTGTTCTTAGGGAGTTCATCAACAGCTCTGCACAAAGCTTCAAAGGAGAGTGACCTTAATTTATTAATTTGAAAAATTGTTGCAAAAGACTCAGAAACACTTGGGGTCCCTTTAGGCTCGCATCCCAAAAACTCACCTCCACTACCGCTCGCGTCCAAGGGCATCTCACTGGATTGTTTCATCCAGCCCCCCTTAGCAGCCGGCGAAAGAGGCTTCTCCTGGGCCACAACATCTGCCTTACCACCTGTACGTTCGGCATGCACCGAGCAAGAGCTGGTCACACGGCCTCTGCCATAACCCTTCTCCCACTCACGTGGACTTACAGGCACCGGGGCCCCAGCAAGCACTGGGCAAACGGTAGGCCAACCCTCGTTGACCTCGGCAGCCAACATTGAAGCTGACTGCGAGAGAAAAACATCTACCTTTCCTTGGCTGGCCCCTCCTGTGCCAGCTGTGTCATCATTCTGCTTTTCCAGTGGCTCCGACTTTCCCCATCCCGGCGCGGGACTGAATTTCTCAGTGCTTTGAATCTCCCGGTTGAGGCCGCCGGGATCTGATGGGCCAGGGGTCTCCCCCTCTCGTCTTCGAAGGAGACCCTTCGATCCCTCACGTCTGGTCTGGTCAGGCTCCCATCTCGTACATCTCGACGTGGGCTTCGGCTGCCACTTTTTTCTCTCATCGGAGTTGGGCTCCTTTTCACTGTCAGGGATTGTTTCTCGGTTGACTGCAGGTGGAGTTGAGGGGAGGAAGTTGCCCTGCTCTTCCCCCCCCCTCCGAGTCCCTAGGTTGAGGCCCTCCTCAACAACTCATCCGACTTCGCCTGGTGCACCGCGAGGCTCCTCGCCAAGTAGGACTCACTAGAGCTGGCCATAGTGGGCATGTCTTCTTCCGGCAAGAGCTCGATGAACCTGCTTGCAGCATCGCTCCCATCTCGTTGAGTCATCAACAGTGCCTTGTATCTCTGCAAGAGGAAATCTCCCGCCTGTCCTGTTTGACCAGCCACGAGGTGATCCAGGCATGTCGCAAGAGTTCTGAGTTCCCGGTACTTGTCGTGGCTGACTCCATTGCGGAACTGCGGCAAGGCATAACTCAGGAGATACCTGAGCGCCACTGGGGTGAGCACATCCTTGTTGGCCTCATCGTTGCCAAAGTACGTGCCCACCTGCTCATGCATCGATGCGTACCCTGTCTGTAGAAGCCGTCCTGGTTTCTTCTCACTCAGCTGCCTTAGTTTACGTTGCTTGGCCGCGGCCGAGCCTGATCCTAGGCTACCACCTAGGAGGCGTTTCTCATCCTCCTCAGAATCTGATCCATCGGAAGAACCTGAGTGGCCAGCCTCATCACCATAATCGATCTCCTCCTTAACGGTCTTCTTCTTGAGGGCCCTGGTGAGTGCAGAGATCATCTTGTCGCCCTGAGATGACTTCCTTTTCTTCCCAGCGGTCTCGGCCACTGCAGCTGCACGAGTTGCAAGCACGGCTCCCGGGTCAGACTTGCCTCTAGCCGCTTTGCGCCTCTGCAGGTCCTCCCGCAGTGTGGCCAGGCGTTCATGGGCATCCCCACGCAACTTGTCACTGTCAGCATCATGAGGATCTTCATCCAACATCTTGTCAAGTGCAGCTCCTCCTGAATCCTGAGGGCGTTGCTTCCTTGGAGGAGGCGGTGGTGGCGAAACAGGCCTGGCCCTACCACTCTTCTTCACTCGTCGGTCATGTGCTTCCTCTTCCTCCTCATGTTCTTCATCTTGATCAGGCTCCGGACGAGTTTCCAGATTCCTGAGAGCCGGAGTTCTCACTTTCTCCAGCCCTGGTGGCGGTCTCAAGGGCGATGACTTGGAAGCCGACTCACTCACAACTCTTCGATCAGGAAGCGGCGCAGGCAACGACCTCGGGGTCCTCCCGAGCAAGCTGGGTGAGTAGCCCCACTCGCGCAGAACGGTCTCAGCTTCAGGCCGAGTGACGGGAGTCCACTGAAGCACATGGACAATCCCTTCACGACCTGTCTTGGCCATGCAGCCCTTGAGCGTGTCATGCCTGCAAAAGTGGTGGAAGGTATTGGGGCCCATATCGTGGTCCACCCACCACTGGTAGTACTCATCACTGCAGGCCACATAGCTTACCTTAGCAAAGGCACCGTCTGCGTCAGCTTGGTAAAGCTGGTCCATTCGGACAAGGGCTTCTCCCTGTGGTTTACCCTTATCATCAAGGGTCTCTATAACCACTAGCTCCCTCACAGAGGCCCACAGCGTCTTGAAGTCCTCCAAAGAGAACATGTGGGCTCTGCGGAGCAACGCTTTGAGGTCCATGTTGACACCTTTCACCAGCAACAACTGGCCGAAGCCAACCTACCCCCAGCCAACACTGGGGGTTTTGAGCCTCAAACTGCAGTGAATAACGGCCTGATCCTCAATCAAGCAAGTCCCAAGCAACACATGCCTACTGACATGTCATAAGAACATGTATGTGTGTGTGTGTGATTGTGTGTGTGTGTTGAGATCACCTGTGGCCTTTTCATTTGATTTTACGGTTTTACCTTGAACTTCGGATGAACTTAGTACGAACTTAGTATATCCGTGTCGGCTGAATCTCTCTCTGTTGGGATCCCGAGGTCGCGGCAGTACACCCTCAGGGTCCAACTGGGCCTTCAGCTGGTCGTACTTGGCACCAGCATACTTCTGGTACAGGTACTCCCTGTCGCAGAAAACTGTGGGAATAATGTGGAATAATATGGAACAATATGTGGAATAATGGGCACAAGAAGAAAGCTAAGTGGTTTCAAACATAGTCAGATTGCGACGAAGTGTTGCTTCCTGAAGGTCTCTCAGCGCACCAACATTAAAACAGGAATGCCTAACTTGGAGCACTTCCCCTATAAATCCGGCCTGATTGGCAGAACTTGTTGGCAATAATAATACTGCAATACCCCATCAGCTATTCCAAGTACCAGAAGAATTTGGACGATTCTGAGATGTCATGAAAGAAACTAAGCCCACAAATCACCTGCCTGGAGAAGGTGACATCTGAGTAGAAAGCCTTTTGACCATCAAATTCGGCGAGCCTTGGCAGAGTCACATCACCAAGCTGCCGAGACGCTGTTGGAGTCATCTTCAGGGCCCAAATCTGCATATTTCACAATTACTGAAGCCAAGTGGTAGATGTGAAAGAAACAGTGGAACCAAGACGAACATATATGTGTATATATGTATATATATATATATACATACACAATAACCTAGCCAACATGTAATTAACCAACCAAAGTCAGCGAAACAGAAATGTTGTAGATTCCATTTCGATCATTGGGTGCCAAGGATGCCGAGAAGCCAGCGATCGATGCCCTTGTTATGATAGAGATCTTCCAAGCCCCCACAGGGCACAGCTCCGAAGCACGCGACATCCATGATGTGCTCGACATCGGGCAATGGGAACCTGTAAAATGACTGGGGACGGTGCCTCAACTGTTTTGGATCTCACTGGTCGTAGGTCCTAGGTGACCTTGGCTAACCCGGAGAAAATCTGAGAAAAAAATGAACTCAGAATCCATATATGGTGAGTGTAAAGCTACCATTGAAGACTGAGGTCACCCCATGTCACCCCTTATTGTCAAATCGACCGTCGACCACTGTGGAAGCGGAAAGGGTTTTCGGAAGCCAACGCTGTTAATCACCACTGAGTCATCAAGTCTGAGGACGGAACTTCAAGGAATAGAATTCATTCAGGGCAAGAACTGACTTCCCGAGTATGTCGACACATGTTGTTGACACTTGCAAGTATTGTGCAACATCATTCGTAATTATTGTTTTGGTGCGTGGTTTTGACCGCATGATCGCCTACTAGGGAACAAAGCCGGCACTCAAACTATGTATATTGCAATACCTCCTCCAGACTTCTCTGCGGCAAACAAATCTCCAAACTCAGGCGCTTTTGCGCTATGATGGTGCATAATTATCATGATTACGTTGGCACCGTCAGTCTTGTGACTGATTCTCTCTCTGCATGTTTCTCCACCAATTCTGGTGATAAAAAATCGACTAAATAACTTAATGATACTTAATGATACTTAATGAATATAAATGATGGCTCCAGAATGGTGCGTTAGGACCCTCGTGATACCAATTCTGTTCAAGACACAGAGGTTGCTCTCCAGCCACCACACCTGAGGAGTTCCGTTTCTGCCGTTTCTGCCAGCAATCAATGCAGTGATGAGATGCCATAACAGTCAGTTGTTGGGTAAATATTATACCCATTTATAGATGGTTTCCCTATAAAAAATGGTGATTTTCTATAGCTATGTTAAATTACCAGAGGGTATAAAACGAATCTAGCATAATCTAGCAACTTCTGTGCTCCGAAATGCACCGAGCCACCGGGAAATGGTCGAACAGCATGGTCGAACAGCATCCAATAAGCGGAATAAGCATGGCAATGGATACTTGGGGGTGCAGTTCCAAGTGATAAGATCGTTGTAGGATAGTTGTAGGGATATGTAGAGGTGATATCCCAACTGATGTATACTCATGGGGTTTATTGCGGTATGGTATGGTATGGTTATAACCTTGAATCTGCCTGGGAAATCCCAGCCACTGGGTGCCCCCAACGTACCGGGCACATCCAAAAGGGCAGCTCTCCATGCTGTTCCAGGCCCTTGGCGAAACTGGGCACTTGGTCCAAGCGAACACCCAAGTCCTGGCCAGTTGGGAACGTCTGATGAGAAAATCTTGGGAAAAAAACTGGGAGTCTTTGGGAAAATGTGCTGCATACATTCTGGTTCATGACACCATGTTGGGGATCGAATGAATGTCAACGAACGAAAGTAATGTAATGTGTTCTTTTCGGGCTGGAGGTGTGTCTCACTGTGTCTCCATATAAGATTCTCTCGAAAAAAAAATATTTGAATTTCATGTGGGGCCAAAAGACTGTCAAGGTGGACTAGGGCCACCGGCCTGGATGATCCGTTCCGTCGGTGGTCGGAAGCCAACGTCCGCGCCTGGATTCTGTCGCGATGAATGGTGCACAAGGGCATACAGATATACATAAAATAATTACGTATGTATATTATATGTTATGTGCGCGTGTGACATATGATATAAGATTATATAAGATGGTGAGCAACCAGCAAACTGCACAGGAGCGAAACACAAGAAGTACAAGCCTGCATGCTGGAATTGATATTCACCTGCCCAATAATTGTTAAGTTATATTTTTTATATGTTACATTATAAATATGTATAAATATGTTACTTAAATATACATATATAAATTAATATAGATTAATTATTGTTTTTGAGTCAGGGACGTTGGCCTAGCCTTGGTCCACAAAAGCTTCAGCTGACTCTGCTGAAATTCAGGGCATCCCAGGGCCTCGTTCGCCAACCAGCTGCCATACCAAACGAGAGACAAACTCCTGGAAGTCGAAACATTCGTATCTGCGTCTTTCCCAAAATGGTATACAGATATATACAGATGGTCAATGGTCATCCTTCTGGCCGTGGCATGGTTCATCATGATTTCTCACTGAGCCCTCAAATTTCGTTCAACCTCATGTGTTTTCAACATGTTGGAAGTTGGAAGCGTTTGGGAATCACCAAGGGTGGCCACATCGAGCCAGGATCACTGACATCCCGCATTCCTGGGTCTGTCCATGTCTGTCCTTCGCATCCCGCGCGCGTCTGCCGAAGTGCCACAAGATCTTGGACCGCAGGAAAGCACGGCCCAAGAACTGCCGCACCTGAAAAAAGCTGTTCCACTGCACGAAGTTTCACCAGGATCTCGGGTCCAACTGGTCCAACTAGAAACCAACAAATTGGGTGTGGAACACCGATATAGTCTGGACAAAATCATGTAAAATATGTGAAGAACATTAAAGAACTCGTGAAAACTATGGACCAAGGACCAAGTACTATACCCAGTCCGGTTGATTGTGTGAATACTTACGGCATCTTAGACATCTTAGAGCAAAGATTCAAATGCCCTGGCGTGTCCCAAACTTCTGCCCAGTTGCATCCGGTTTGCCAAGCACATCTACTCGTCTGGTCGACCAAAAAATGTCACAATCCCAGCGGTACCTCAGCCACAGCGCCAATCAACACCTCATGATATCCATAATTGAATACTAATGGACACCAAATGTTTTTCACATGCAAAAAAAAACGTATGTCTTAATATAGTTTCCAACTAGCTTCCTGCAAGATGACCTTATACAGACATAAGTTTCAAGTTGCTTAGGCCATTTTTGTTGGTGATGTTGTCATGTTGCATGATGTGATTTTTTGATACATTCCTCAACCTCCTGGTAACCCCCGACTCACCTCCCGGCCGCCTGTCAGCTAAGCTGCAAGTAATCAAAGGTTGACATGACAAAAGAAACATCTCTTTGACCAGCTGGCCGCTCCTCCAACTTCCTGGTGGCGTGGCAATGCCCTGCGGCAAAGCTATCAGCTATCGTGACTTTCATGGCTCAAACTGAATTTATGGCAGGCAAAACACATCAAACAACTCACAGAAACACGCCACAGAAAAGATCAGAAAGGGATGATGGGTCGAATTCGCCCTCTCCAACACCATCAATGGTCGGATCTCCAAACTCAAAAAGAATCAAAAGCATTCAAAAGCCAAGACAAATCATTTGGATTCATTTGACACATCCCCAACATCCCCTATATCAGTGATTAAAAACCTCTAAAGCCATTTATAGGTGTTTTCATGTGTTTTCTCACATGTTGCCATGTCGCTTTTGCAGGATATCCACGAAGCGCCCATCATCCGGCAACACCACTGCTGCCCGGCGCGATGGCGATGGCACCATGGAGGCGGTGATGGACATACCACGGTCTTGGCCAAAGATGAGGCCGTCGACCTTGAAAGGGGTTAGAGAGCTGGTGACTGGGGTATTTCCATTGGAGCCATACATGGTTAGAGCATATTCACATTTCACCATGGGTCCATGGGTGCCATGCAGCTGCTGGATGGCAGAAAAAAATCAATGACGCTAAGTGTAGCGGTCATGACATCAACAGCCTGCATGCTTGTTGGCCTACACACAGGCACAGTATATATATATACATATGGCATATGTAGACATATCATATGATGCATATGTAATGTATGAAATTATGAAACATATAGTTATATATAGTTATTCATTTCCACCTATGAGTTGTTTAATGGGACCTCTCTATGAAAAGCAAGCAGTGGGATAGTTGGACATCTACGGTAGCAATATACATGGAAATATACTGGGGATTGTTGGGGTATAGTTGGACAAGAAAACGACTATAAACCCACGATGATAGCTGGATATAGTTGGCGTGTTTAATAGAAACAATAATTGTGGATGTCATTTAGCTAAACTCCTGACTGCCGTGCCGTAATTATCCCTGAATACAGACCCTGCGTGGTATGTATTGTGGCGGATTCTCTAACCCAGCGGCCTGCAAAACGTGAACCCTGGCAACCATCTATGATAGTTGACGGCATGTAGGATCGCAGTAGAACAGCCTGTCGAGGATATCATGGGGGAAGATTTTTTTAATTTTATATGTGGCGACAGGTCCTTATTTTTTCAGTGTATTCGTCAGTATTATCGTTTTTTTTTCAGGTTTTGATTTTTACAAAATGGTATCGCTTTTTTGGGAAGTGCATGATCGTGTTCCCAATGTGTTCCAAGTCTCAGCTCAATTTGCCCAAAGTCACACAACCTCTCTCCAAAACGATTTTTCATATTTTCCACTTGAGTAACTGAGTAATTGAGTAATTTTTGATCGTAACCCATATAGCTCCTACATGGCCGCTGGGACAGATTCCACCGGGCCGATACTTACAATGCTTGGTACAGTAGTTCTACCAGTCATTGTAAAGAAAAAACCAAGTTTTGTTTGGAATCAACTTGTTCGAATGCCATCGGTAAGGAGGACATCGCCCTTCTGGGAAAAACCATCCGAAATATCTCGGTTGGCAGCGTCAGTCCATCAGGACAATTCTTGTTAATTCTGGCAAAATGCCCATCCATTGTGGTATCCAATATCCAATAACAACTTTGATTTTCCAAATTTATGGATGGAACATGAACCACCTACCAACCAGCTTAAATTCAATAGTTGGTGGTTTCCAAATATGTTTTCCGCACATCCCTTTAAAACATCCGAAAACCGGATCATTATCCCAGGTACGACGGAAAGGATACTACCGTATCCAAAAAACAAATGGAACACTGAAACCAGCAACCAATCCATGAAGCCAAAGTCAGTCGACGAAATCCACAGATGGCTCCTGCATCGCCACAGACATGTCATCCACTGCTTCTTTGATGCTGGGATGTTCACGAACTGTGACCAGCACGTCTCGTTCAGCGGGAACCGCTTGGAGCGAAGCACTTAAGACCTACACCAGTAGAACAAGGAGTTGGCTGACTGACAACATTATGAAAACAAAAACTCATAGTGACTCAGACCTATATAGGTCATCTCAGAAACTCACGGATGCAGATGAACTCACCTAAAATAGTCAAGAATCCATACATACATACATAATCATATATATATATACATATACATATATATTATAATACATATATAATCATATATATCCACCGCACAATTCGCAAGTTGATTCTCCTTGGCAAAATCGTGGGTGACCAAACTTGAAAAATTGGGGTGTTGAACTTTGAAACTACATCTCTGCCAGGGCACATAGCCCAGGGTTCCATAGGAATGCGGCAGGGCCGCGAAGAGCTCAGGATGCTCAGTGCGGCTACAGCTCACCACCGTGCCATTGGCCAGCAGCACATCCTTAGCTGGGCTGCTGATCATTGCCATGTTTTTGTGGGGGAGAATGTATATACTGTATCTATACATATATATATAATGTATATATATATAATTAATTATATATATATAGTATGTGATAGCATTTTTTTTGGTGGCAAACACATTTCCATACAGCCTCCAGTCAACATGGCAATGGAGGACCTGAAGTCAAGTATGTTGAAATATTTATACCCTCCAGATTGTTGCGATGTTATAATATACATGTTTGGGGCCATGATTCAATACCAAAGGGTGGATATTGGTGATCCTTTCCACGCAGCCAAAACAAACTTCCCTTGATCATGGTTATGGATGTTCTAGAGCGCCTCGAAATGCAAACGCTCCGTGAGGGATTGATGAAGACGCATCGCTAGTGTCACCCCTAATTATTCCTCTCCAGGATGGATTCCACAAGCAAAGCGCGGGCATCCCCTCAATCTCGATCGAAACCCAAACAAACCACGCGAAAAACTGCTTACCAGCAGCTTTAAACTCCAAGACCCTGGATCCAGCGCCTCACGCATTTGTCAAATCATGTCCAATCATCCCATGCCCAAAATCTTGACCAACAACCACCTTTTTTTTATCCATATCAATCCTTACCATCAAAAATTGTCCATCCCACCCCCCTATGGCCCCAGAACCGCGCATAGCTTCCATAGCAACGACCGCATTATGGAGGAAGCCATACCGAAAGCTGCTGGACTCCATCACCAGCCCAGCGATGGCGCCCCCCACCGTGACGCTGTCCACCTCTGGCACCACTGGCGGGATGAACTCCTCAGGCAACAGGAAGCGCGTGAGGAGCTTGAAATCGGTCTTGGCGCCAACCTGATGTTTTTTTGGGGGTAAGCCACCTTTGGGCCCCCCAAAAAACATCCGTATATCATCGTATATCGCGTTTTTTTAACCTGGAGATAATTGTCAGAAGCACGTGAGAATGCACCACTTTTTCTGAAACTCAGTTGGCACAACCCCGCGCCAGAGTTCAAAGGGGTGGAAGGCTCTAACTTGATAGAAGCAATTGTGTTACATAGGGAGAAAAAGTGTCTTGACTTGTTTCGGTATTTTGTTGGCTGATGATTGAACCACTCATCCCACTGATCTTGGATGTAGTTATATAAGGTGATAAGGTGACAAGCAGAGAAGGAGAACAATGGAGAAAACATGAGAAAGCTGATGTTCAGTTGGATGCTCCAAGCAGCTCGTACCACCCCAGTTGCTGAATCGAAATCGATAACACCAGAAAGTTTGGCAATGTTCAAGCGCCCGTGTTTCTGATGATATTCCTCGTTGCAGGTTGCAGGGCGAATATCAAGCACAAGCAAAATCAAGAAAATAGGTACTCGCCATGGCAGTCAGCGTTGAAGCATACCCGTCAATAGGGCCCCAAATTTCCGACGCAAATCGAAAGGCATTGAACCATCCAACCAGGACAGGGGTGGCGAACTGTCAACACCAAACAACCACAAAACCATGATTAACAACCATTCCCCCAGGTATCCCCCAGTCATGGGACATACAATTTTGCAAATCCAATGCCAGAAACCTCCATGTAGCAATGATTATGGCCATAAATGTGGTTTTTTGATTTTAGATCAATCGCACATTGGTGATCACTACTGGTGCACTATATATGTTTATCCCAGCTACCGTTGGTTATATATACCCTTATTTATTGATTGTAAGACTTGATTTTACCAACATCGCCGAAATCCCATTTGTGTTCATTTCCTCATCCAAATTGCCGCAAAATTTTGCCACAGCCTCTAAAATCCAATGGTCTTATCTCATAGAATCACAGTTTACTTTCAAATGTGCAATTTCGGATCTCTTTTTTGGTGCAAACATATATGAACGATATATCTACATCTATAAACTTATAGTATGCATATATATATAATTATGTATATACATATATATATATATACATAATATGTGAATATAAGTGTTATAATAGAGGTATACTGGACATACGACATCCCCTTTTTGGGAGCAAATGACCAAAGAATTAAAACCTCCAACATCCCAAGGCTCCAAGCGCCCATGCCCGAAGAGCGACGCAGCGTTGCCCGTCTGTTCCAACGTCACCGCTTTGCACCGCCGCTTGTGGAGGCGCAGGAGCTGCTGCTGTGCGTCTGAAACCAAGGCCTCCTGGGGCTGAAAAAATGGAGGCCTTAAACTATAATGGGATATATAACAAAACTATAACAGGAGGCCATGATAGTTGAATTTTTGGGGATATAAACTATAATGAGATTATAATGATTATAAGTATATCATAACTATTCATTGAAATGTAATGGAATTAATTATATGAGTATGATGGGCATATAGTGGGAATACAAATGGGTAATGGGAATACAATGGTAATACAATGAGAATGTAATGGGAATGTAATGTGGATCTAGTGGGAATTCAGTAATATAATGGGGATGTACTGGGCACCCAATCAACAACATGATATTTGGGTGTGTCTGAAAAATGGATGTTTGCACTTTTTAGGGCCAACAAAGGGACAATGATGAAGATGTTCATTGGATTTCGGTGTAATACATATATACCCTATTTTCAGACAAACCTGCTCATAGTTTCTATGGAGCTTTTTGGAAAACCGTGCAAGAAAAGAGACAGGTAATTTACCAATAGTTTAGAGATTTTCAGATTGTTATGCCGGATATATCTTGTGGAGGGTTGCTATAAGGGGAAGTCTACGGGAAGCAGAGTTTGGACCTCCAAGTGTGCAAGTTTTCCCGCAGGTGTTCCCTTGCTGAAACCCATTCTGGGACCGTGTTCAAAGTGAATATTTTCGGATATGGATGGATACGGATATGGAATATGGATCATTACAAAATATCGTGGGGCCGCAAGTGGACTTGTCACGGTTTGTTATCAACCGTCCATTAAAAAAGGGCTGATGATATGTGCTTCCATCATTCCACAAGCTGGGCCCAGTGGCATACTCGTCTTGGCCTCGGCATGGCAACGCCGAGGCCAATTCACACACCTTTCCCAACTGTCCATTTCAAGCACTTGTAAGGTCCAAGATGGCTCAAAATGGTTCAAATATGTTCAAATACCCTCTGGTAAACTAACATAACTATGGAAAATCACAATTTTTCATGGGAAAACTCACTATAAGTGGCCATTTTCAATAGCTCTTTGTATGTTTACCAGAGGGTACCCATAAATGACCAGACCAAATGTCCCAATTTTGTTGCACCCCAAGCGGCTGAGAAGGCGGGGTCCATCTGGTGCCCCCACCATCCTTGCCATGAATTCCTCCCATGGCTCTGGATCCAGGGTCGGCCATCGGGCTCCCACCTGGTCCTGGACGTGGAAATGGAAAATACATGAAAATACATGGAACGTACTCTATAAATGGAATTTCCCAGCTATATATAAATATAAACAAACCTACATTTATATATATGCAGTGTATGTATGCATATGTATATATATATATATCATATATCATATATATATATAATATATATATAATATATAGGAATTTCCGGCTCCTCTTCCGGTGTCCACCGCACTTTGGGCGTCACGAAGGCAGGGAGTGCTAGCAGCGTCCCAAGGCACAGCGCAGCCAGCGCAGCGCGGCGCCATGGCCGAGTGGCGCCCATGGGGGGTGAACCCCCCAAGGTCTGGGGTAAAAGATCTCTGGGTTGGTCTCAACATAGAGGGGGTGTCAGAAAAACATCGAAAAACGAGGTGTAATTCATCAAAGGATATATATGGATAGATGATATTATATGATATGATTAGATAAGAGATGATAAAAGTGCTGCCAGCTGGTCAGCTGGATTGATCAGAGTCAGCAATGTCTTGATCTGTGGCAAACTCGAACCTCCTGGCGATGTTGGAGATGTTGGAGAGCTGGCCCTAGACTGGCCAATGTCATGCCAATGTCATTTGAGAATGGGGCAGCATCATTTTACCCACAATTGTGGTAATTGTAAGCCATTATTTTTATATTTAGTCGTGATTCAATATTCTCAATCCTTGACATCTTGAGAATTTGTGCCTTTGATTTGAGTTCTGACATACCGTTTCTTCGCCATGTGCCTGTCATGAAAGCAATTGATTGCTGGTCTCGTCCCAGCTTCAGAAGTCGATCAGGGCGCAACGAACGGCATTAGCAGGGAACATGTGAAATAGCATAAAGTATAGATTGCCTAACATTCGAACCCTCTAAGTTACATGAACCTACAAAAAACTGGCACAACTGGTACCATATAAGATTTTAGAACAAAACACCAACCATCTTTATATATATATATATTTATTTATTTATTTATCTATTTATTTATTTATTACGTATAGAATCTTTGGGGTTTTGGGCATTTCTCCGAATATCAAGTACTGAGATCCCCAATGACATCGCCGCCGCCAGATTCGCCAGGATGCAGGGACTTCTAGCGCCGTCCGGGAAATGGCAAACAAGGTCTCCCGGAGCTTGTTGGCACAAAGGACTTTGGCGGCCTGACCGAAAAATTGACCAATCCGCGAAAGAAGAGACCAACATATCGCAAAAAAAACCGTGGTTTATTACTTTTATGGTTTAGCAGCAGTTTTTTTGCGGCCAAAATATGGCGATGGCCATTTTCGGGTATCCAAAGCATCATTCGAATTTCAAATATCTACTGGGTGTCTATTCAATTCAATGAACCTTTATCTTGGCACAAGGGGACTGCAAGGAAGTTCGACGCGCTAGGCTCTAAGCAAGTGAAACCTGGGGTTGAAGTGGGCTTGGGCAAGACAGGGCAAGATTCAACAGTAGTTACCGCTACACTACCGCTACTATCCACTCGTCCCAGTTCAAACAGCAAATGCTCTGGCTTAGCACGTTCCAGCAGGATTCCAGGATTCCCCACCAGGAAGTTCACATACGCCCCGTCATTTTGAAAGGGCGACGTAGCATCACAAAGATCTCTGTCATCAAACAGTTCCTCAACCCAGGGGCCACAGCAAATACAAAAAGATCAGAGAAATAAACGTGATTCATTTCCAACCAGAGAGAGCACAGTCCTTGTTTCGTAGCAGCTAACTGCCAAAGTATATATGTAATTTCATGATATGTGTATATATATATATATATATATGTGTGTGTGTGTATGCATGTGTGTGTGTGTGTGATTATTTACGTGTAAAAATATGATCACACACACATGTATATATATATATATATGAATGTATGTATGTGTGTGTGTGTTATGCGTATTTCTAATGTATGTTTGCGTATACACCTATATATGTACGACATATAAAGAGAAAAAATGGTTGCCAACAAGCACTAAGTCCCGTTTGCAGTGGTGACATTCCAACCTAAGGATCCTTTTTAAACTGGCAGGCACCGAGATTCCTGGAGCAAAGGAGGCACAACTTCCTTCAGCAGCGGATGCTTCTGATGAAGTTCCTCCGCCGTTGAGCCTAGGATTTTTTCTGAAAGCTGATTCAATGCTGTGTTCAATGCTGTGGTCTAGGTTGGCATCCCAGTTGCCATCATTTACTGTCATTTTAGCATTTATCCGTGTGCTGATTGGTTTTTGGTCCGTGTGTTCATCAGCCAGCCCGTGGGAAAAAGACTTGAATCTCAGAATGCAAGGAACCAGTTGCAACCAAATGGTCTCCATGTCCAATGGAAAGCAAAGTTCGAGCTGTTATAACATGTTGTAACCCCTTAGGACAGCACTTGGCGGATGGCTGCCGTTAGCCATGGGCAGCCCTAAAAGCTGATTCAGTTGAATTGATTGACACCTGGAGTAGGCCTTGCGCTGTAAAAAAAACTTATATAGCTTAGTACACATGCTTGCCTGCAAGGAGGGCTTGCAAAGTCTGTGTCGTGGTGTGTAATGTGGCTACATGTGGAGGTGCAGCAAGCTGATGTCCAGTGGCATGAAAGACCACGACAGGCCAAATGCCAGTGTAAGATTCTAGTTTAAGCGCGTCTTTTAACTTTTTCCCACTTCAAGAATTTCAAATATGATTTGTATGAATGATCATTTAACCCAGCTCAACATCAACAGCTGGCATGAATACGTCCTGTTGACCCATGGTTCGTTGGCAATTGGCAATTGCCCAAGCTGCTTGTCATTGTCATCTGCTGGGTGGTAAGCTGAGCCAAATGCAAAGGCATGCGAGACCCTGTTCTGATATCATATCATCATATATCAAACACCAGTGCAATTCGATGTCAATCGCAAACAAATTTGTCGGGGAATCCGATTCAATCAACTCTTGCTGTGCTGGATGGATGTGGATGCCTGCCGCTCCTGTGTTCACTGCAACCATCTGCGAATGCTCCCGTTGAGCCAGTCCGGATGCAACTTGTGGCGCTCCAGAGATGCACAGAGTCAGTGACTGCAGGTAGGCATATGGATGCCATCTTCTTGAAACCACCATCCAAAGGGTGGATGACTGTGCCCCACCAGGCCCACTTTGTCTGAACCCCCCACAACATCGATGCGGCATGTTATGTGGCAAATGTCAGGCTCGACACAGAATAACCAAAGATGTCTGTCAGCTTTAGCGGTCAAGAATCAAACAGCAAAAAACATGTTGGAGTAGCTAAATATGTAATCTTAACCCATACGAATCCCATGCCAATCTCACACCTACATACACCTACAACATTCCACAGCATCCCAGAGCAATCTGCATGCCATCGGCCATCCACTTTGACAAATGCTTCATTGGCTCAAAGGAGATCCAACAGAATTTGGGGCATGCTTTGTCCCCGAGCGAATGGCGTGCTATGGTGACTGGGCTTGGGTATCTTGGGTTGGCCAGATTCGGCACGTCATTGTTCCGCCAACCGTCAACCCCACATCATACTAATTTCTTTCCGCGCCGAGCATGATCAACAGAAAAAAAACATGCAAGTCAGCATGATTGAATGATATTTAGTCCTCTTCGAACTATCCAATCTTTTTCCTGGTGAATTTCGTTATTTTTGTGGGATACACAGTTCATCCTTTCGTCTCATGTCACGCGCGACCAGCCGCTAAGCGCGGCTCCTCGAGCGCATTAAACTGCCGCGCTCCGCCGAACGCCAGGGCCCAGGACTGCGCCTGGAAGGTGAACACGGGTTACACAAAACTGGCGGACCGATGGGTATAAACTGTTCCTTTCGGATCTTTCAGGATTTTTGGGGTGAAAACTTTGAGCATCTTCCACATTAAATTGTTCATGTTGAACCTGGAAAAAGTATGAACAATTTGTATCAATTTGTAGCTTTCTGAAGGGTTCCAATGTAATCATGCTTTTTGGTTTCAATATGCTCCCTCCAAACCCATGCCCAAATAACCCCGAGATAATATTACATACTTGTCACCGGATGTCACCGGAGGATGAATGGAAAAATTGGCTATACGCGGCGATCTTAACTTTAGGCTTTCAGGATAAAGAGTTTCAAGGTTTTAAGTTTTATATAAGTTTTAGTAGGTTTAGGGTTTTAGGTTTCAGGGTGTAGGGGTTCAGGGTTTTAGGGTTTGTTGTTTTGGAAGGTTAAAAGAAACCGCTAGCTCTGCGGAGGGATTTGAGCATATCAAAGGATATGCGAGATCCGTCATGGACAAACGAGGGGTTTGCAGCGAACTTAACCTCTGCAATTTACCGAGTAAAGACACATCTTCGTGCACATCGGCCTGTCACGTGGTGGAGATCGCTCAGCCTCGCAGGCGGTTGCTGCTGCGAGCTCGGGTGGAAGGGCCAGCTGTAATCAGAGAGCTGCTAGACTCTCTCTCGATTTGCTGGCAAATGACCGCCCAACATGAATTCCAGGCCTATGCAAATAACACAAGTTTACTATACATTATAGAAATGAGCACAGATATGCACACTGTAATACACCGCATATATATATATAGAGTGTATATAATATATAGAGTGTATAATATATATATATATATCATGCATACGTCTATGTGTGTGTGCAACTATACATACGACACGCATCTTCGATTGTATGTGATATTTATACATGTATGTTGTATGTTGTATGTAATGTTGCTTATGCATACATAATATAAACATTTACGAGTACCAGCATCCCCGATGCAAATAGATTACTAGACCTCACCGTGATTCCCACGATGCCTTGAAACCCTGAAGCTCAGGCATCGTTTCTGCATGTTCTGCCACTTCGGTTGGCGAACTCACAGCTGCCTGGCTATCTTGGCTTTCGGCATACCGCCCAGATGAGGCAAAGGGAAGAAAATGTGCTTGATCTGTTGATATCTGTTGATATCTGTTGACATCTGTTGATATCTGTTGATATCTGTTGATATCTGTTGATATCTGCTGATATCTGTTGATATCTGTTGATGCTGACTCGTCTTTGTGCAGCTAAACAGGTGTCGAAATATGTGTACATAAATATTTTTTAATATTAATTCTATTATATACATCGCAATGACCTCTTTCTTTATTCTCATGCTCGCATAGGGACATTTTGGCATGCTACGCTCCACCTGCCTTTTCCACACATAAGCCAAGATTTGGTACATGGGACGAATGGACTGGTTTTAAATGGTGTTATATTATATTATGTTATATTATACTGTACTATATTTTATTATAATATATATATATATTTTTTCATATTATATTTATAATTTATATTTATTTATCGATTTTATGTGGTTTTAAGTTTTAACATGGCGAATTCCCAGAATCGGTGGACATTTTGAACGGCAGCTGTCGACATCGCCTTCTCTGTGGCCGTCTCCTCGCAGCCGGTCGCAGCTTGGCATCCCCGGTCCAGGTGTTAACTTGGCCCCCCAGGGGGGTCCAAATCGCTCAAATTCGCCATCTAATGCCATCCATTACTATAGTTGGTTACCCTCTGGTAAACTAACATAACTATGGAAAATCACCATTTTTAATGGGAAAATCACGGAAAATCCACTATAAATGGTCATTTTCAATAGCTATGTTAAATTACTAGAGGGTAATGATGTTTTTATGTTGTTCATGATTGTTTTGTGAATCACCCAGATTGAACAAATTTAAGAACAACGAGAGCAAAGGAAAGATGGATGCCTTCTGATCGTTACTTGCTGCCACCTCACGCGGCCATTGCCAGTAACTATCAGTAATTAGATACTGGAACTGCACGCGGCGACGGTCGCCTCTTTGTCCAATTTCTGCGCTGTAAGTTTGTTCATTAACCAATTTCACAATGATCTTATTGTCATGTGCTGAGAAATCTTCATGGGAGGCTAGGCGAAGCTTTGTCCCCGAAACACGGGCGGCCTCTCAAAAGGTTCCAACAAAAATGTTGATAACTATTGGCCACAAAACACCAGAAATGAACATGACACAGCGCCCAGAACAATCTGAAATACCGAGGTCCCCGTCAAGACAAGCTCGCGCAAATCTCCCCGGGCTATGGCGCTGCAGCGTATTTATCCCACTCTCCCTGCGGTTCCACTGGCTTTTGTTATGTGGTCCCCGCAAGGCGCTCTACTAAGCGACAACTAATTGACGACTAGCCCTGATTCCTCTTTACATCCATGACCCATTTCCAAAGGAAGGAGTTCTTGCAGGCATTGGGCACCGGCAAACACATCCAATAGGTGGTGAATGGATAGAGCACCCACGAGACGATGAGTAGGTAGACCACCTTAGAGGCGGCCCATGTCGTTGTGCAGCGGCGTGTGTCATGTGAGTAAAGTTTAGGAATGTAAGGGCACCTGGCGGGCACATGCGCGCGTATTTGCACAATATGAATCAACTTACTAATACATACATATACATACTATATGATTTTATAATGATGTTATTTGTTATCATTACTTATGTAAATGCAGCTGCAACGTCCTGTGTCTCCCTGGAGTCTCCCTATGTTCTCGTGACTCTGTATGACTCTGTTGTATGTGCGAGTATAACTCCACCAAGGAACAGCATCCGTCATGCTGCAAACGATGGCGTACAATAAGTACGCCACGCCACAGGCAAAGACCAGCCAGGTCTTCCTAGGAGAGGATGATCAGCTATGGAAGCGATGGTAACAAGGAAACCTACAGAATGGCTGAGGAAAAGGGCTTCCTGTTCAAGAATCTGTTGCCGTTTGTATATGTTTATGTGGCATGTTGGTTGGGGTTTTCAGATGTTTTCACCCGACAACGACCCCATTCCAAAGAAGTTTTGAATGTTAATCCATGATGAAAAGGGATATTTCCAAGCGTTGCCTCCAATAATAGGTCCTTGTTTTTTAGCTCACCATTTCAGGGGCATTCAATTCTGGAGAGGGTCCGCCATGGGTCCGCCAAGGTTCCGGAAAACATACAGAAAGCTGAGGTTTTGCTGGATTTCCTGTGGCAATGCGAGGACCGAGGAATTGCTGTAAGCACGACTGCTTGGATGATGTTTCAACGATATGTTTTCCGAATGGGCAAGCTTTAGGCCAAGACATCCATCATGATCTGTGCGTCAAAAGATGGCATATATCGGTTGTGGATGCTTATGGATGGTTATGGTCACCCCCATTCACGGGAGGGTGACCATGATGCAGGCAATATTTTAGCGTATTACAATCCGTTATGATCCAGCACAGTCCAGTATAATCCACCACAATCACAACCTACTACAATCCCCTAGTATATAATTTATCTCCTATATGTGATCCATTATTACTTAATAACTTAACCATACCCCGTTTTGAAATAACATTTGGATCATATATAGGACTATTATAAACCATATATGATCCATTACTTAACCATTATCATAATCCAACTTTGGACTCTAAATTTAGATCATCACATCGCATGTGTCCTTCTCCACGGCGTCTTGTGGCTGCCAGTTGGGCTTTCCCTTCACCTGTGCCCATGCGCCACGGACCAAGCGCACCACACCGATGATCAGCTCGGGGCTGAAGAGTAGGATGGACAAGGTGATCTCCACCAATGCCTCGGCAGTGATCAATGGATTGGTTTAAGGGAAAATTTACAGGAAAGCCCTATATTTGATGGTAAAAACCATGGTTTCCTGTAAATTTTCCCTTAAACCAATCCAGTCAAGTGAGTGCTTACTTTTTTCATGGATATGAATGGGTTATTCAGTGGATTATGATGAATGGATGATTCTCAGTGGATTATCAAATATTTGTTACTAATGGATACTAATGGAACTATATTGGAGTGGATGATGATCTGTGTTTGATTGGAACTAAATAACTACTGGATGATTATGAGTGGGTTAAGCCATAGTTATATAACTATATACCCAAATAGCTATAATAGTCTATGAAGCTTTGACAAGGGCAAGTAACTGATTAAATTATTAAATATGTTTGATATAATCCCTTCCCCCCAATACTAACCCCCCCTGAATAATAAACACCTCCGGTAGTTTTTATTGTTAGGATGGTATTTATTATTAGGGAACCCTATTAATAAATTTAAAACACTATATAATGATAAAAAATGATAAAAAAAAACTAGTTTTTCCGATTTCAAAATCATTTAAATGTCCTTTTATAACGCAATTAAAATATTGCCAAAATTGGATTTCGAAGCGGACCCTATTAATTAATAAATTTAAAACCTTAATAATAAAAACTATTTTTTCGATTTCAAAATCAATTAAATTTCCTTATATAACGCAATTAAAATATTGCAAAAATTTGGTTTTCGAAGCAGGCCCTAATAAATCCTAATCATAAATTAAATGCCCTAATATAAAAAACTAAAAAAAATCGGACGGACCCTAATAATAAACACCTCGGGGTTGACTAGTTTTTATTATTAGGGGGCGAAACCCACAAATGGTAGATTTATTTTTAATTTGTTTTCCAATGGGAATCAATTTAAAGTTAAATTGACCAATCTGAAATTTTCCAAAATTAGAGATGGACCCTAGTTTTTAGTATTTGGGGTGGGTTTAGTAATAGGGGGAAAGGATTATTAATGATGGAATCTCGTAAGCCGTTTTGTTGGAGTAAGGTTAGGTGCTTACTTGGCATCGGCAATTGTTAGGGAGGCGAAGCTGGGGAACCATCAGCGCTTTCCGTTTGGGTTGATCCCTGAAAAATAGATTCCGCCTGTATCAAGGATCAAGAAATCTCAGCTGATTAACGCGCGTGAAGGTTTAATTTAACATAATTTAACTATTGTTACAGTATGCAGATGTATGCAGTATGCCATTACTTCGGGGACGAGCTGCAGTTTTGTTCATACTGGGTTCAACTCTGCCCCGGTGCCACTCCATCCTATCCCTGGTTGCATTCAAGGGTCCAAGGCCAGTTGTCGTATGAGAACGGAACACCGGTCCAGTTTTTCATCATCTTCATCCTCGGAGTCATCCGAATCCTCCCCATCTGGAAACACTCGAGTGGGAGGCCGGGTCAACATCACGTGCTCATATTCATCCTCGGAAGAAAACTCACCGTCCCCGATCTTGGAGGACTTGCCAGTGCAAAGAAGGTATTTTCCTCGGCTAGCGATGGAGGAACTTTTGAAGGCTGGCACTTCAAGGCCTTCTCAGCCATTGATGCAGTGAAAGCAGGCAGCACACACCCACTGCAATATCACAGGCCAAACATGGCTTATCATTGTACAAACCTGCTTTTTGCGCGCGGCCTCCTGCCAAGTGACCCAGGTTCAGAGATGGGAGTTTGTCCAACATCAGGAAGCCTTTGGGTATGATGAACAGCGCCAGAATGGTGAAGAGAAATGCATACATGCCTGGCTTTAGGATCTGCTTGGCCACTAGCCCCTTGGGACTTCCCAGCCCTCCCATGTGGGCACAAATCAACATGTCGGAGGCACTGGGAACCGCAAATAGCGATCATTTTAGAGTAGAAAACCATCAAACCATGCCATTTCGGGTACCTATGACTATGACTTCACCATATCTCACTAGTCGCTGGTCAAATTAGACATATATATATATATATATAACACAAACACACGCGCACACACACATACATCATATTACATCATTATATATATATATATATCAACATCTTATTAGGGCGTGGTATCAAAACATGGATTAAACATCAAAAAGTGCATACCTGTGGGTTGCATGTAGGTACACATGCCATCATGGCATCTCCTGCAGCTGAGATACCCACCACCGGCAGAATCTGCAGTTCCAGACCTAACTTCTGCTCCGCCAAGAAGGAGGTGGCGATATTCACCAGCAGGATGCCAGGACCAGCATGAAAGAGTCTAACAGGGAGATGAGGAAACCAACAGGAAGCAGACTGTGTCTAAGTATCAGGCAACCTGGGTAACCTGCAGTCTTTTGGGGGCGGATTCTGGAATGAAAAATGTCCGATTTATGTCAGTTTCTGATGATAGTTGTGTGCTTCTCCAGCCAAATTCAGCCAACTTGGGACAAGCTTCCCTAACATATTCACATATATTCACACAATGGCACTTCTGAAAGGGTTGATGCCAGCCCCGCCCCAGCCTGAAACCCGTGTGCGACAGGTACTCAGCAGATACGGAGCAAGGCACTTCCCGCCAGCGAACCCAAACCTTTTCTCGTGGTTGGCACTCCACCAGCCAGCTGTAGCCAAGGGTCAGCAGCTTGATGATGCCGCGATAGGATCCTAAGAGAAATGGGCCGCCAAAGAGGTAGGTGCATCCAGTGCATCAGCAAAAGCTCTTGCCATTTCTTGAAATTCTTGACATGATTTTGGATCCGAGATGTGAAACATTGTGAAGCCATCACTCTTCATAGAATTTGGACCCGTTCGTTGGACCATTTGTTTTAAAAACAACAACAGAACTGCCATTTTTAAGGTCTCCAGGGATCCATCTGGATGGTAACAGGCATTTTTCACCTCACCAAACATCCATCGCGTCGACTGCGATAAAGCGCTGATGGGATTGCGTGCGACGTCCTGGCAGGTGAAGCAGTAGGCGTCGCCACAAAATATGCCTTGAGCAAATAGAGTTCAAGAAAAAGGGAAATATGAACAAATTGAACAAGTGATTGGAATTGATTTGACACTATTTTAGTAGGATGTTACTTTTCCGTCCTTCTAGCGGTTGCTATATACGGTAGCCTTGGAAATGTTAACATACGTATCTTCAACTCTTGGACTAGAGCTATGTGTGCTGCAACTCTTTGGATTTGTTCGTCAAACACTAAACGGTCCAGCCCTTGCGGTTGCCACTTTGGCTTCTCAGATCAACAATGGGAGTCTCACTCCCCCGGCGGGATCTATTTCACTTCCAAGTTGGCCAAAATCTTGGATCTGTGATGATCGTTCAAATCATGTAATGCAATCCTGATAGCATAGATCACCCAAGAAAAAGCATGTCCAATTTCAGAGAATCACTTGAATCACCTGATCCCAACGCTCAACTGACCTGGATCCATACTCAACCATGGCTGCTGCGGGTGGTTCGGTTGGCCATGTGTTCCCCAAAAAAAAATCAGATTTACCCAAATTCAGACAACATCTCCAGGTTGGATTGGCCATCTTTGTTCCCCCCCAACCACCAAAAAAAAAAACGAAGTTCAACATCTCCTCATAGAGGGTCACGTTCACATTCACCGCAGGTTGCAGCAGTTTTGCCTCCACGGTATCGTGACTCAAGATGTCCACAGGCAGCGCTTCAACCAGCTGACCAGGCATTCCGATCAGCCGGGAGATGTACATCTCGTTTCGGATAAGGCCCTTGCCATAGAAACCCGTGCGGTTGAAGATCCAAAACCTTGGACACACCCAACATGTTGAAAAACCTGCTTGAAATTACAAATTACCATTACCCTCTGGTAATTTAACATAGCTATGGAAAATCACCATTTTTCATGGGAAAATCCACTATAAATGACCATTTTCAATAGCTATGTTAAATTACCAGAGGGTAATACAGTACAGCTTATACGTAGTTGGCTCCAGCTACCTCTTCCAATTCTGAACTTATTTTATAGTTGTTCAAAATATGTTATAATTAATCACTTTCCATACAAATTCAGTGCTCCCAGATCTCTCAGCTGCCACCATGCCCCAAACCCTGCATATATCACCTTAAGAAACTGGCCCCGGACCAGGTTCACCGTTGACACCTCCATCAAGGCATTGCGCCACATATGCCAAGTGCAATCCGCATCCGTGGCGGTGTAGTCGACTGCCAGGTTGGCATTGATGATGCCAAAGGACCTGCCGGTTGTGCGATTTCGGGAGGCTGGGTAGGTAGGTGTAGATAGTAGAAAAAGAAACAGATAAACACAGATGGAAAGATAGAAAGATTAATGACAGGTAGAGATAGAGATAGAAAGATAGGCACGGATAAAATAAAAAGATAGAGCTGGAAATAAAGATAATCAAAATTGAGATAGATGCTCAAGCCTGACCAAATGCCCCATTCTATATCTGGTCAAAGTCGCAGTCGCTCTATCCTGATCTACCTGACTTTCTGGCTTGGTCTTGGGGTTCCTATCAATCAAAACATAAATGCACTTTACACAAAAGAGAAGCAGCCAGAACCCCTGTAGAATCTAGAAGTCCTTGCGTTCAAACAATCCTTGCTGTGAGACTGATCATTGATGTTCTGGAAACCCTTTGCAAGTCGGAGGCGGTCCTATTGGCTGGATGTTCAGCCGACTCAATCAGCGTTCTGATGCTGCCGGCGGGGCAAATGGTATCCTCAAGGCACTGGTGACTGGCACAAACAGATGTGTGTTTTTGGAATTTCAATATCCCAGGGAAAAGCGTGGTTCAACAAACATCCATATTTTACTGTCAAATCTATCACACTCACAATATATATATATACATATATATATATATACATATATATATATACATATATATATGTACAAACATATATGTATATACATATACCACACATAATCACAGGTATATAAAAACAATTAAACATATATAAAAACACATCCATATTACAACGAAAAGGTGTTCCAGGTCAAGTGCAGTTCCCAGGGTCAGAGTCCAACACCATGGTGTAGAAATAGCGATTTTTTGGATCGCTGCCGTAGGAACTGATCAGCTCCACGTCCTTAGGAATCATAGGAATCTGGGACAGTTTGTCGCGGAAAGTAGTCATTTTTTAGGCAAATCATTGTGTATATCAGATTAAATCAATCATTAATCATTGTAAATCATCCATAAACGGACTGTTTTGCATTGAAATCTCTTAAGTACTGGAGGGTAGATCCCTGGCTCAGAGAGAAACTTAGAGAAACTTCTTGGAGAACCTGTATTTGAAAAATAGCCTAAGGGAAATATATGACTTCCATTTTGTTCCTCTTGTCAAAAGATTGGGCGGAAAAAAAAACATCCAAAGCGCTGCATCCCAGTAGGCGTGACGTGATATTGCCACTACAGTCACTACAGTCTTGGTGGCTGCAAGATGGGATTGCAGAATCTGCCACTCATACACTTATTCCATCTTATTCCCTTCCTGCTATCTGATTATCAGAGATTCTCCATTAATTTTTGCCGGGAGCCCGGGAGCACAGTTTTGGTCAAGTCATTTCTGAGTATTAGATCCCAAAAATTTTGTTGAAAACACCTTTATTCTCGTTCGTGGGAACATCACGTCACTGGTGGAATGCACAGTTTCCTGTGGTTTGAGCTAGCTATGGCAGCTATGGCCATTCATCATTGATTTTGGGGCCAATCCTCCATCACCGATCATCCCAGAGTCCGGCTTCCCACTGCGCTCAAACTCTTTGACCATGTCCACATTGGACTCCAGGCTCCTTAGAGGCCCATCTGTCCACCAATGTATCAACAGTTATCAACATGCTTGTGATTCTGATTATCTATCAAACCAATAAATGCAGCATCTCAGAATATGGATTTTTTTTGAAAGGATGATGGAGTTCGGGTTTCAGGATTATCCCCTTTTGAGGCGTGCCCAAATATGTTTCATGTTTCGCATATGTGTTTTCAATTGGGCATTGGGTCAAAAAAATGGACCACCAAAATGCCCACAGATTTGGCCCCTTGTTGAAGTTCAACCTTGAAGCATTATCTCCGGGTACCTTCTTACCTTCCCTCATCCCAGCTAAAACCGAAGAATTGATTGTTCATTCTCGTTCTCTGGAGGATAATGACCGTGCAGGAACGTGCAGGAACGTGCATCATTTTATTGTGTGGATACCCTCTGGTAAACTAACATAACTATGGAAAATCACCATTTTTAATGGGAAAATCCACTATAAATGGCCATTTTCAATAGCTATGTTAAATTACCAGAGGGTACTAATTTCCAATAGCTCAGCTTCCCATTCGGAGTGACATTCCCGGAGAATCCGAAGCATTCGCTGCCCCTCTTTCGGCCATCCTTGCCGTAGTCGACGTCTAAGTAGGTATACGCCTGGTTGTTCCTGAAGTCATCCGGCCGCGAGGATTGATCAGAGGATGGTTGTCAGAAACCAATTCCAACAGTCGGGATATGTTGGAATAGGATGGAAGAGGGTGTATATTGTGTATAACTATATATATAATATATATATATATATAAAACTGATTACAACTTAACCTAACAACTGACTGTCTATATATTATATGTATTCCAACATAGCCCAACGTATACTATATGAATCTACTCTCTGAATCTATAGGATGCACAACATACAGGTGCCAGATTCCATTGGTCGGATCGCAGCAAGTTGGCCAAGTTTCCCAGTAGATGCGAGGATCATTAAATCCTGGTATTGACCAGGCTTCCTTGGCATCTTAGCAATGCCACAGGTCGCCATGGTCAGCAGGAAGTACCACAGGTTGCCACAAATTGGCGGGCAGAATGTATGCAAAACATGTAAAAACAATTAAACACATGCAAACAATATGACATGATACGACATCATGTCATATGACTATCCTTGACTGCCAAAAAACTTGGAAGAACATCGGAACAACAGAATCACAAGGATTAACCGGTCGGCACAATTGGATGCTGGGGTGTAAGACATTGTCTGAAAACATCCCCACAAGGCCCAAGACTCTTCAAAATCTTGCAGGTTCGGTGCAAATACACAAAGTGTGTTGTCGCATCCGTGATCTTTGCACTTAGTCTCCTGCTCGACTGCAGAGACCAGGATGATTCAGATAGGGAAATAACACGGGATCACTCCAAATCCTGAGTTTCCAGTTTCCTTTCGATGCAAGTTGCGAGCATTTCGGATAATTCACCTATACCCTGGATCGCAGCAATTTTTGTCCTAAGTCGACGACTTCCAAAATTTCCGGGATCTCAAAATTCCCCAAAAATCACCCAAACATCCTTGATGTCAACCTCCCATCCCATTTTTAACCGATTCCAAGGCTTGGGGAATCTCGTTTGGACCTGGATTCTCCCGAAATTTCCAGCGTCCTCGGCAAGTCTTGTGGCGACCCATGGCTGGGATCCATCAGCGCGTGCCAAAAATCCACACGACTCAGGGAGCTCTCAGAGATGGGTGCCAGAGCGTGTCGCAAGTGGTAACCTGCCAAGCTGATCCAAGCTGCCAAGGCAAGTGAGGCCCTGGGTTGGTGGTTTATCCAATCCATCTATATCATAGATATATAGAATTATATAGATATATCCATCTTAATCATTCTAAATCATTCTAAAACCATCTTTCCAGTCTATATCCATCTATCCATCCATATCCATATCTATATCCATATCCATCCATCGATCCATCCAGCAAGCCACTTGGTGCTGGCGCTGCAGTGGGTTCCCAACCTTGATTCCGATCCCATGTTTACTTCACACCTTCCCAAATCCAACGTTTCAAGTTGGGATCCTTCCAAAATGTAAGGATCCTACATATCACATACATATATAACATCATATAAGATCATATAAGATCTCTAGAATTCTCTAGATGTAATAAACATGTACACACACATATATATATATATATGCATTATATATATGTGATACGATGTGTTACTAAAAATGGTGCCCCAAGGCAGGCGGCAGGTGGTATCATCCTCTCCAAGCAACGCAGCTGCTCCGGCTCCAGATGCGTCAAGTCCAGCGCGGCCTTCATCTCCGCGGTGAGGCGTTGCCGGATCTCCTGGACGCTGGCGTTGTTTTAATGGGGGCTACCCATGGAATTCTAGGGATATTGGATAAAGATATATATATATACATATAATTATATATATATATAGATTGATGTAGAATGATGATATTGGATATTTCGCGATTTTGATCCATAGTCATCACTACCCATTGAGCTTATATAAGTGATCAGTTCATATTCCAGATTCATGATTGATTTCTGTGTGAGCTGTTATTGATATATGTTCACATGAGTATGCCCCGTTTGGTAATAACATTTCTTTTAAGGTGCCCAAGGCTGGCCCAGACTTCCACTGGCTCTACAATCCAGGTCATGGCAAATGACGAGAATCAGGTCAAATTTAGGTTCCAACATGTCCCAACTGGTCCCCCAAAAGTTGGAGGTGTCCCCATCTTATGTCTTTTTCTCCGATTTTGGTTCATTGGATTGGCTCAAGGGGGAAAAAAATCAACATTTACCAGAAACCTCGATATTTCATGGTGAAAAACCATGGTTTTCCCCTAGATTTTCCCAGCAAAGGCCCTCATTCCCCCGATTTTGGTCCATGATTGGTCCGCCTGGCGGCAGCGATCGCGCAGGTCCAACTCCAACTTCACCAGGTCCATACCACCTGTGACCTCGGGCCATGGAATTTGGATGGGAGTCATATCCCAAAGAAAATGTTAATCCCATCAGATATGGACATGTTTAATATATATATATGTGTGTGTGTTTATGTATGTATATATATATATATCCCCATATGAAAATTGGATATATAATGATATACATATATATATATATTGATGATATATTGAAACATCTGTGAATCATTTCCCATGCATGGCTTATGGATGTGAACATATATGTCCCCATACTGGATGCATTTCCTCATATTAATTAAAGTTATATATATATATATAATTACCCATTAAACAGATTCCCATATATATATATATGTATAAACCCTCTGGCAATCACAAATGGTTGGAAAATTCGCAATGTACTTCGATGATTTTACCAGTTGAATGCCCATTTGTAGTCCCATTGCCATGTTTGATAACTGAACGGCATAAATATGTATATATATATATGTATGTATGTATGTATACAATTTATATAATGCGCTATAAACCCAACAATAAGAATCCATAAAACACTCCCCAATTCCAGCATAAATAGGTGGTACTGTCATGTCATCCCCAACTATATAGATGTTTTAAATGTGTGCCACAACAATATTAACATTGATGGTTGAAAACCTACCGGGTATCCCTGGTGATCCAGGCACAGAAAGCATGGTTTGTTGAGCCAAGCTTTTGGGTGACTTGTAGATCTTCCCTTAAAGCCATCTTCTTTGCGATTTCTAGAATCTAGGGATTGACATTGATATCATAGACTCCCAACCCCCGAATAAGCTCTCCTACATAGAACAGAAAAACAACCCTGGGCTTCTGGGGGTCGCTTACTAATTTTAATTTGGGGAATGGATATATATATATATATACTAATTAACTTTGGATATCAACTGCCAGCAACAGCACCTGTCAACATACTGTAAGCAATGTATATAAATGATTGGAGATCTTATGACATATATTACGGTACTGTAAGTGGCCCCCTGATGGAATGAACATGCGCAGAAAACAAAATAACCAATGGAGATATCTGAAATGGGGATATTAGCATGGATATGAGATGGGGAATCAACTCTGACACTTCGCATGGGGATTGATATCGCGGTGGTCTGGAAAACATATCACGTTTCTCAAATAAACTGGCAATATAAAATGGCGATCTTGAAAAGGGAATTTCTCGGAATCTGGCATTATAAGATATTATAAGGATCACTACTGCCAGAATGGCAAGATTATCAAGCAGCAATGGAGGTCTATCAACAAACAGTAGGTCAACATCCACCTTTCACGGGTTGGTACTGTAATTATTCAACCCTAAAATTTGGAGGTTGCAATGAGGATCCCTTGATCAGGATAGGGTTCATAGGCAAGCACCATTAGAATCCAAACAATCAACCCACTGAACCCTGGCCAAAACCTGATGAATTTGCAAAAAAAAACAATGATTTTTTCAGAGATGTTTGTCATAAAATCTGGATCTGAAATGATCTGAAACTGTTCACCGGGATCTCAACACAGAAAACGGACTTGCTGTGTCTTTGGTGCCTTCCACCGATCACCATCACCAATTCAACATATTACCATCATCACCAATTCAAGCCAGGTGCGCTAACCACGCTGGTGGTGATTCGCATGTTGGGATCCAAGTTGGCCAAATGTGCCTCCATCGCCGTGTTGAAGCACTCCTCCGAGCTTTGTGGAGTCTTCCTCAGCGACCGCTGCGGCTTGCAGGGTGCTGGATCAAAAATGCGGCCACCGAAACATGCGTCAACGGTGAAATTCCATCATTCCATCATCCAAATCTCGGAGTTGTAAGATTTACTATGATTTACTATGATGTATCTACTTCATTCCAATCCAGTCAAGTCATTTTCTGCCAATCTTTCTGTCACAGAACTGTGCCCTTTTTTTGGCGGGCTTCGACAGTAAGCAATAGGCCAGGATGGTGCGACCTTGCCGTTCCAGGCCTCGCTTGGTGGTTAAAAAAACCATCTTGAAAAATATGAGTTCGTCAATGGGAAGGATAATTATCCCATACATTATGGAAAATAAAAAATGTCATGAATATTCCTTAGGAACGTATAACATGTATAACTGTATAAACTGTATAACTTTATGTTGGGATGTATTCTTTCACCACCCTTTTATAGTGCTATTTGCTCATGGGGGAATGTGAGACAAGAAACCACTGGATTTTGGCGGCATCCTATTTTTCAGACAAACCCAAATGATGAATTTGGGATCATTTGCGGCATCATCATATTTTGGGGATTTCTGATCATTTCAGTGACTTGTCACACTTGTCCATCCAAAAAATGATCAAACATGCCGCAGTTTCCCTTCATAGCTGAGGCAGCCGCCGTTTCGAAAGTTTTGCTTCGGCAAGGGTGGCATGCCACAAATCAGGCCTTGTGTGGGCAACTCAGGTGCCCCCGGCCGAGAGCTCGGGGATGCACTGGGAATCAGTGGAAAGTCCGGATGAGACTTGCCAAGTTCAAAATCTTTCTGGTTGTGTCTGATTCAAACCATCGCAAATGTACTAGCGTTCAAGGAGCCTGGAACATAAACGATATGGAAAATATGGTAAACAATGGTAAACGTCTGTAAAAGCAGAGACCTTGGACATGCCAAGTGGCGAATAGTGTGAAACCACAGTGTGAGGAGGAAGAACTCAATGATGCTCCTTGCGCCATGTCTCGCATGAGTCTGTCTTTCCAAAACAAGAAATCAAAATGTAGTAACATTAAGTAACGTGTATAGTAACAAAAGTACAGCACATTGATGTCCACCCATTGAGACTTCACAGATCCGCCTTTTGAATGTATCTGATTTGAATCCCACATCTCGGCCCTTACGGAACCGACATTCATTCTTCATATCATTTCATATCCACCGCTGAGGCTGGCCACCTCCACAATAACATAGCCAATGACTAGGTGACAAACGATTGCAGCCGATGCTCCACAAGCAAAATGCATTGGTGAGGATGTAAATGAGAGCAACCAAGAAGTTTGTTGCTGTCGTGTTCGCCCACTTCACAAAGTAAGTGAAGCAAACGCTTGCCACACAGGACAGGGTGACAACTGTTGTCAAGAAAATCCAACATGACCTGAGAAAGTGGCGGGATCCACCAGGGGATCCCGGGGATACCACCCCAGCATCAGAAACTCGTTCAACAAATCACCCCTTCCATCCCCTTCCTACAGTGAACATATGACTAGCCCAGGGCAGCTTTATCTTTCAAAGGTGGTGACATATGGTGACACACTTGAGCTCATGGGGTCTTTCATATAGGACTGGTTTGAGAGGTTCTCAATGGTTCTCACATCTTACACTGTCAGTGGACCGAAGGATTTTGCTTCCAACTGACGCTGGAAAATCAAACAAATTTCAGGCGACCGACAACTTGGCATGTTTTAACTTTATTCAATGGTATCTATCTTCAACTTGTGCTTACGTGGTGGTTTGGGTTGGTGGTTTGGAAGTCTGGGAATTGATGGTTTTGTAAACTTAGAAAAAATATATCAAACCCTGCAAACAATGAAATCGTTGAAAATAAAGAAAACACATTTAAAACAACAATGATTGCTACCAGATTAGGTTTGTTTTTGAATTGATATTCATCTTGTATCTCGGAAAATGTACACTTATTTAATGTCCAATAATTTCACGTGATTGTTTAATTGATTATTGAATTCTAGTGCATTTTTCTGTACTTGTCTATTTATTTTTGAAATGGGGGAAAGGCAGTTTCTTCAAACCGTGTGGTCCTATCCTGTACTCTGACTGATGCAGGTTTCATGGGTTTTCCATGGAGCTTCCATGCAGCTTTCATGTGTTTGCAAATTTAGCTTACTGGTGGGTAACCTCCATGACAACTCCCTGGAACCTGCATGGAATCTGCATGGAACCTCCATGAAACCTGCATCAGTCAGAGTGCATGATAAAACCAACAAGTGTAGCTAGAGGCACCACCTCCATAACGCACATGGAAACTCATGAAAATCTACATCAATTCTCCATGGAACCTGCATGGAACCTCCATGAAAACTGCATCAGTTAGAAGGCGCCATGCAACCATCACGTTTAGACACAAGAAACAACGGTTACCTACATGAAACCTCCATGAAACCTACATCAATTCTCCATGGAACCTGCGTGGATACTCCATCAAGGAAGACGCCATACAATCATCAGGTGCAGATACAGGGAACATGTTCGAGTTTTTTTAAATGGAAACTACATGGAAACCATCAGACGCTTTGATGCAAATCGATTGCAAATCGATCGTAACTAAATTGATCGCACAAAAACTGTTATAGCATCTGTGCGTTTTGATGTCGTTTTCACTAGGCCATCTGTCTTTGCTGAGGTTTCTGTACTGGAAAAGTCAAATTCTTCCAGAATTTCTATTTATCCTGAGTGTTCGTTGCTTGGCGGTTTTGATGTTGGCAAGGCCAGGGTTTCAAGTGTGGACTTTGTAATGCGTCATTTTGATGTAGGATTTCGACGTTGTTTTGCGATCATTTTGCGATCCTTTGTCGATCGATTTGACATCGGCCTAAAAACGAATAAGAAGGCCATAAAACAACATCAATATGACATCGACAAGAACCTAAGGCCTGTAGAAAACGGCACTTGCCAATTCATATATTCATGTGGTTTGGTGATCATAGAATCCAAGATGACATAAGTGAGTTCATTTCTCTTGGTGGTTTCGTCTTTTAATTAACTTAGTTTGCAATATTATATGTTAGGAACCTCCATCAAGTTGACACCGAGACAGACATAAAACTCCATCAAAATGACATCAAACAAAAATTCACATTTGAAACCTTGCCAAAATCGAAACCACCAAGCAGTGAACACTCAGGATAAATAGAAACTCTGGAAGAAATTGACTTTTCCAGTGCAGAAACAAAAAGGGACATCAACAAAGACAGATGACCTAGTGAAAACGACATCAAAATGCACAGATGCTATGACAGTTTTTGTGCGTTTTTTTACGATCAGTTTACGATCGATTTACGATCGATTTGCGATCAATTTGCGTCAAAGCGTCTGATGGTTTCCACGTAGTGTCCACTAAAAAAAAAGTCTCTGTTCCCTGTATCTACACCTGGTGCTTGTATGGCGCTTCTTTGATGGAGTATCCATGCAGGTTCCATGGAGAATTGATGTAGGTTTCATGGAGGTTTCATGTAGGTTCCGTTGTTTCTTGTGTCTAAACGTGATGGTTGCATGGCGCCTTCTAACTGATGCAGTTTTCATGGAGGTTCCATGCAGGTTCCATGGGGAATTGATGTAGATTTCATGCAGTTTCCATGTGCGTTATGGAGGTGATGCCTCTATCTACACTTGTTGGTTTTACCATGCACTCTGCCTGATGCAGGTTCCATGGAGGTTCCATGCAGATTCCATGCAGGTTCGAGGGAGTTGTCATGGAGGTTACACACCAGTAAGCTAAATCAGCAAACCCAGCATGTAACCAACATGAAACCTGCATGGAAACTGCATGGAAACTCCATGAAACCTGCATCAGTCAGAGTACTGTACAGGAAAGGACCGCAATGGAATTTGTTTCAAGAGAAACTGTTTTTTTTCTCTGTTTTGCTTTCAGGTAGATTATTTAGATAGAATAGATAGGTAAGGTCACTTGGATAGAGTAGGCATATTAGATAGATCAGATAGAAAAGGTAGACTAGGTGGATTAGATAGATTAGATAGATTAATAGACAGACTTGAAAGATTAGAGAGGTTGGATTAGATTAGCTTAGATTAGATTAGATAAGATCAGAGAAGATTAGACTAGTTTGATAGACAAATAGACAAACAAATAAATAGATAGACTATGTAGATATATGAGGTTGGTTGATAGATTGATAGATTGGTAGATTGGTAGATTGATAGATTGATAGATAGATAGATAGACAGACAAACAAATAGATATATTGGATATGATATATTAGATAAGTAAATAGATAGACAGACAGACAAACAAACAGATAGACAGATACTTAGAAAGATAGATTAGATTAGATTAGATTTAGATTTAGATTTAGGATTCAGGATTTAGGATTTAGATTTAGGATTTAGATTTAGGATTTAGAATTAGGATTTAGAATTAGGATTTAGAATTAGGATTTAGAATTAGGATTTAGAATTAGGATTTAGAATTAGGATTTAGAATTAGGATTAGGATTTAGAATTAGGATTTAGAATTAGGATTTAGAATTAGGATTTAGAATTAGGGATTTAGAATTAGGATTTAGAATTAGGATTTAGCATTAGGATTTAGCATTAGGATTTAGAATTAGGATTTAGAATTAGGATTTAGAATTAGGATTTAGAATTAGGATTTAGGGGATTTAGAATTAGGATTTAGAATTAGGATTTAGAATTAGGATTTAGAATTAGGATTTAGAATTAGGATTTAGAATTAGGATTTAGAATTAGGATTTAGAATTAGGATTTAGCATTAGGATTTAGAGGATTTAGCAGTAGGATTTAGCATTAGGATTTAGCATTAGGATTTAGCATTAGGATTTAGCATTAGGATTTAGCATTAGGATTTAGCATTAGGATTTAGAATTAGGATTTAGAATTAGGATTTAGAATTAGGATTTAGAATTAGGATTTTAGGATTTAATTAGGATTTAGCATTAGGATTTAGCATTAGGATTTAGAATTAGGATTTAGCATTAGGATTTAGCATTAGGATTTAGAATTAGGATTTAGAATTAGGATTTAGAATTAGGATTTAGAATTAGGATTTAGAATTAGGATTTAGAATTAGGATTTAGAATTAGGATTTAGAATTAGGATTTAGAATTAGGATTTAGCATTAGGATTAGATTAGAATTAGGATTTAGAATTAGGATTTAGAATTAGGATTTAGAATTAGGATTTAGAATTAGGGATTAGAATTAGAATTAGGAATTAGGGATTAGAATTAGGGATTAGAATTAGGATTAGAATTAGGGATTAGAATTAGGGATTAGAATTAGGGATTGGAATTAGGGATTGGAATTAGGGATTAGAATTAGGGATTAGAATTAGGATTAGAATTAGGGATTAGAATTAGGGATTAGAATTAGGGATTAGGATTAGGGATTAAGATTAGGGATTAGCATTAGGGATTAGGATTAGGGATTAGGATTAGGATTAGGGATTAGGATTAGGATTAGGGATTAGGATTAGGGATTAGGGATTAGGATTAGGGATTAGGGATTAGGATTAGGGATTAGGATTAGGGATTAGGATTAGGGATTAGGATTAGGGATTAGGATTAGGGATTAGGATTAGGGATTAGGATTAGGGATTAGAATTAGGGATTAGAATTAGGGATTAGAATTAGGGATTAGAATTAGGGATTAGGATTAGGGATTAGGATTAGGGATTAGGATTAGGGATTCGGATTAGGGATTAGGATTAGGGATTAGGATTAGGGATTAGGATTAGGGATTAGGATTAGGGATTAGGGATTAGGGATTAGGATTAGGGATTAGGATTAGGGATTAGAATTAGGGATTAGGATTAGGGATTAGGATTAGGGATTAGGATTAGGATTAGGGATTAGGATTAGGGATTAGGATTAGGGATTAGGATTAGGGATTAGGGATTAGGATTTGGGATTAGGATTAGGGATTAGAATTAGGGATTAGGATTAGGGATTAGGGATAGGATGGATTAGGGATTAGGATTAGGATTAGGGATTAGGGATTAGGGATTAGGGATTAGGGATTAGGATTAGGGATTAGGATTAGGGATCAGAGATTAGGGATTAGGGATTAGGATTAGGGATTAGGATTAGGGATTAGGATTAGGGATTAGGGATTAGGGATAGGATGGATTAGGGATTAGGATTAGGATTAGGGATTAGGATTAGGGATTAGGATTGGGGATTAGGGATTAGGATTAGGGATTAGGATTAGGGATTCGGATTAGGGATTAGGATTAGGGATTAGGGATTAGGATTAGGGATTAGGATTAGGGATTAGGGATTAGGATTAGGGATTAGGGATTAGGATTAGGGATTAGGATTAGGGATTAGGATTGGGGATTAGGATTGGGGATTAGGATTAGGGATTAGGGATTAGGATTAGGGATTCGGATTAGGGATTAGGATTAGGGATTAGGATTAGGGATTAGGGATTAGGGATTAGGATTAGATTAGATTAGATTTAGATTAGTTAAACAAAAAATAAAACAAATACAAAACACACAAAACAAAAACACATTTTTCAAATCTATTTTGCACATAACTCTGATTTCCCAGACTTCCAAACCACCAACCCAAACCGCCATATAAGTATAACCTGATATCTAGTGTTTAAGAATGTTTAAGATATTGAGGTGCAGTTCTTTAAAAGAACAAACAACATGGATTCGCATGCCCAACTGGAACCGAGCCCGGTCCCTGAACGTTTTTCGAACCAGTGGCCGCGGCGTGTGGAGATTCATCTGCCAGGTCTCACTTCCCTGGAAACAGTTGTTGCGCAGTTCGGGTGCGCTCTGGTAATCAAACACAAGTATAGCAAACAATCCCACATAATCATAACCATAGGTTTAAGGGAAAATCTACAGGAAACCATGGTTTTTACCATCAAATATAGGGCTTTCCTGTAAATTTTCCCATCATCCAATTCTATGACACATAATCATAACCATAGTCCTTTGGGAATATGACGGTGTAATATTGTGTAATATGCCACCAAAATACATGACGAAACACAATTCTAGATATTGATCAACAATACCCTACCAATGTAGAGAAACCTGGACCGCTGGGAACTCTATATTTTTTAGCGGAAAAATCTATTGAACTTGTGTGTGTTTTTCACTAGGGATTGTCCATTGCCAAGTTAGATTACCAAAGGGTATCATATGTTGAGTCATGTCAAGACTATTCAAGACTTAAACTTCTCTTTTGCAATCTCTGTCTTGCCATCAGTCATATCTCAAGCGTCAGGCCAACAAGTTGGGACCCTGTTCATGTCAAAGACCATGACGGTAATATATCCTATCCTATTCTCCGGTAAAATCTGGTAAGCTAAAGTGCAGAAACTAGAACTGACCTGCAGGTCTACGTTTTTCAGTGCATGTAACATAATATAATCAGTGATAATTAAAACTTATATAGCCATGCCAAAAAATGCTAACCTATTCAAGGCACCAACAGCAGTTTCCTCCCCTGCCTCGGGTCCCTCGAAATTCTCTCCTTCCGTCTCTGAGTCTGTCATCCCATTACCTCAGCATGCTACGAGGGAGGCTATTGGAAAATATCTTATTATCTCATTTATCTACATGGGTCTGTCTGCAAAACGGGGACCCCCACAATTTTGCACTTTGGTTGGGAATTTTTATCATGATAAGTCAACCCATTTTTGGGCAAACCCTTCCGCCAAGGACCCTTTTTTAGAAATTCCTGGACCTTGCCACGGCACTCGAAGCGTTGGGATGTCGAAATGGCACGGGTGCATACTTCTTGTCAGTCCAAAGCTCCTGGACCCCGGACACCCATGGGCACCAAAAAAAACCTCTGTCGCCAGGTTCTGTTCCGTTCTTGGGGTGTGGTTAACCGCTAGTTGATCACTAGTTGACCACCAAACAGTTTAAAAAAAAAAAAACACGCGCACGCACACGCACACGGATATAATGTATATATATATTATTTATTTATTTATTCATTTATGTATTTAATGTATGCATATGATTGTATATGTATGTATGCATTTATTCATTTAAAGACGAAAGTGATGTTTGCTATAGTGATCTTTCGTGGTATAGGCTAAAGTGCTAAAGTTTACGGCTAAAGTGGCTATGGCCCTATCCCCATCTTCGCTGCAAGGTGTTTTGTCTCCTTGAAGCCGCTGTAGATCAAGAGCTGTGTGATCACACTGACGACAATCAGGATACAGAAAGTGCAAAAGAAGATTTTACCTCTGATTCAGAAATGTGGCCCACTCTGTGAGGGATTGAATGTCATATATGATGTAATTGAATTGCTTAACTTAAACGTATACAGAAATAAATCTCGTCACCCATGTGAAACCAGCTACTACCAAACATGCCACTAGTTGGTAGTGCAGTAGTTAATGGTCAGTTGAGTGCCCCGGGCTGGAGCTTGGCTAGCTACTTGGCTAGGGTTTCCCAATTTATATGGCATGTGGGTCTGTCTGAAAATGGGTGCACTTCTGAAACGGTCTGAAACGGCATTCTTTGGGGGGAAATGACAAGTAACCGTGGATTTAGAGGTACCCCTTTTTTCAGACAAAGCCATGTGAAATCATATGAATATCATGATGAAACATGAGCCAACCAGTCAACAACCATCATCTCAACCATGCGGGCTTCCAGTCCCAAACATGCATGCTTTCACGGGGATTTCCGACATTTGGCACGGAAAGCCGAAAGTTGCACTGTGCTGCCAAACAATTCAAGGGAAGCTGAAGCCAGCCAATCCTGCGATTTGTCCTTCTATGTCTTTCTTGGAATTTCTTGACATCTTAAATCATGCAAAAGAAGGAAACCCAAAGGCACACCCTGTAGCAATTCAACAAATAAACCAGTCCCAAGGATTCCTCAACATTCATGATCATTCATGCCCAGCGACAAGAGGACTCATCGGAGCACCAGCGCGCCCTATTTCCTGCTACCATGCCATAGACCAGTGGGGCCTCGCTACCATCGGAGTTCCAATAGAAGTAGATGGCCTGACAGAAGAGGACCTCGGGAAACCTCTCACACTGCTCTGATTGGTCATCTTTAGATGGTAGTTGGGATTCTTAGCATCATCAAGGTCATTCGATGTTCATCGATTTTCATCAATCATGATACCCTCTGGTAAACTAACATAGCTATTGAACATGACCATTTATAGTGGATTTTCCCATTAAAAATTGTGATTTTCCATAGTTACGTTAGTTTACCAGAGGGTATGTGTGACCCCAAAAGATTTCATGACCAGCCCAGGTCGCCGAGGCCACCGTATAGCCTGCACCGTGGCCAGCGCCCCGACCGGCGCGCCGAAGATGCCGGCCAGCAGACTCTGGAGTTTCCCCGGTGGCCGGAAGCAGAGTCGCGACAAGAAGAGCAACAGGCTCATGCCGGCCAGGATACAACACACCTTGGTTGAAACGTTTGCAATCATTGAAACATATTGAAACATATTGAAACATATTGAAACAATCACTGCCATGGTGACCCCATGAGCTGGGACCGCCGTGATATATGGTCCTAGGGATGAATCTCACGTCGTAGATGCCAGTTTAAGTATTCCTGGGCCGAATGCGATATGGTGACCAATTGTTGGTTTTGTTGGCCTTGTATGGCCTTGTTTTAATCCACCGGGACTAGCATCCATTCAAAAAACATGAAACATCTTCTTTCAAAGTGCTACCAATTGTGGGTCTAGATTAATCCCTTTTCATTGATACATCCTTGCGGTCGGCAAACATCTCCTGACTACCGCTGCAATTGGCACTTTCCTTGGTATCACAAGAGGGTTTCTTTGTTTCTTCTATCTTGCCCTTGTAATCACCGCAAAATGATGTAAATCCTGGACCAAATTATATAGAAACATTTAAAGTTTACATCGTAAGGACCTTTGTTCAACAGCAGGTCAGCCAAGAAACAATTAGCAGGGCTGAGATGTTGCTCTCTCCGACCAGAGCTTCCACGCCACTATCAAAGCGAAATATCTGCATCACCGCCTTCCAGACATGGTGCGGTGCGAAGTGGCAGCTAGTAATCCTCCGTGGGTTTTGTAGTTTTGTTGTACGAGTATTTTTTCTTCTGGGGGGTCGTTGGTAATAGGGGGTCGTGAGATAATAGGGAAAAGGGATTGTGGGTTTAGAATGGCCTTGAAAACTCAAAAGCGGCCCGACTTGAAGTAGTACGTGGCTGTCTGGAAGATCTGCCCTGGACCGACTAATAGCCAGCTATCAGAATGCCACTCACCAAGTGGCATATCACTCAAAAAATCAGCACTTCTAAAAATCTCATGGTGAAGGAATAAAATGGGCGAAATCTGTTGGCTTGGGGTCCGTACTTCTTGGCTTCAAAATATTTGATCGTTTCATGTGGCCCGCCCTATGCTCAACTGGGTCTTGTCCTATGCTGATATCCATGACTAGCTCATTGCACTCCACTTCATTCAATAAGATTCATGCATAATCCATCATAATCCTAGACAATGGAATGGATGAAGATGGTGACTTCTTTTTCGCATTCATCCCATTTGTTGAGAGCAAGGCCCAAGGCCTCTTCTACAGACCTCGGAACCGGCTTGAAGTGCTCTGAGGCCACTGTAGCCATGGAATACACCTGGGGGTCATTGAGGCTATGGGGAACCGAAAGTTGAGGCACCAAAAGGACATGCAAAATGATCAAAATGATTGACATAGACTAGTAAAACTATGGTCCTTGATTACATATGATTACATCCCATTTTGGATGTAAACCATGCTATTTTGGATGCCCCCATTTATGTAATTGCCACCCATCAAGCCCACCAAAGGGAAGGGCCAAAGGACCATGTTTTGCAGGGGAAGACAATGCTAGTCACTTGCGTTTCAGGTCCCCATTGAGACCAGAATTGGCCAGACGAAGAAATCCGCTTACTTGGAACTCATGGGATATGAATGGATATGATGACACCATATTACACTCCAGTGACTCCAGTGTCCAAAGTCACCGCTAGCCTTTGGCGACAGTAGCCCTTAGTAGCCTTGCAGCACTGTTGATGAATCAACCCTTTGTCAATATCAAGTGCCTACCATGATCCCATGATGCAGTGCCTACCATACTTCCGCCAGGATACTGAGAAAATACCCCACCTCGGCCACCGGGCACATGATAGGACCGATAGGTGTTGCGAATCAGGACGCATTGTCATTCTATGTGATGATCATGATTGCCTCATAAATATTTAAAACTATATATTCTATACTAATTATATTATATTATATATATATGTGTGTGTGTGTGGATATGCTCCAATAGTCTATCTGGCGTTTTTCTATAGTTGTATGAATACCTCTTGCATCTTCATAAACTTTGGCAATGACATGGGATGCCTTTCACCGATCTGGCCGAGCGGCAGCTGGATGATCAGCAGCCCAATGGGTTCCGAGAAAGCGGCGAACAAGGCGCCGCACCTGAGATGATCGGAACACGAGCACCCGGCACCCGGAAAAAGAGATCGTTTGACAATGATTGGGCCATGTTGGGCCATCTCATTTCAAACATTTGCAAACATTTCAAATCTTAACTATGTTAGGAGCATTTGGGAACCCAGGACTCAAAAGTCAGATGGTCAGATTGGCATCATGAGAACCCGTGCCAGAAGCCGCCCAAGGCACACCCCGGAGGCGATACACAAAGCTATAAATTCCTGGGAGCCGGCTCCTGGGCGCGGCTCCAAGTCTGGAATCTGCTTGGAAGAGTTTGGCGCCATTGTTGGAGTCCGACGTGTTAAAGGTTCCCAAATAACAACAACCATTTAATATACGTAACTTCAAAGTCAACTTGTAGCTAGTGCTCATTAGATTTCTAGGCCCGTGGGTCATTGGTTCCAAGTGAGAAACAGGTGTAGGCTTTGATGAATGCTTGAAGGAACAACCTTCACTATGAAAATGTATACAAACATTCCAAGTACCAAATTCGTTGTTTCACCAAAGATATACCATCCAAAAAAATATGTCCCGAGTGCCAAAATCCTACCTCTCTTTCGCTCGTGAGAGCGCCAAGTGGCCAAAAGGGTTGGCCGGGTTCAGGACTTCAGAGGAGGGGTTTTTGAAGTAGATCCTCAGTGACTGGCAACATGCTAATTTACAAAAAAACACGGTGGGGAAGCACATGGAAGCACCCTGCCTTGAATTCCTACAAGAAGAGAACATTTGAATCAACAGACTCAACCTTCAAGAAGGTCTGAGAACTTATTTGCATCTTATTATATAATTAATGTTATAATATTTCAAAGGCCTGAGAAAATGTGTGATGTGCTGTGATACATCCCCTCCGGCAAGCATCATCTGCGAAGCTGCTTGGCTGCACGCCACGAAACCAGTACACAGGCGGACCCAGAAACCTGCAGATCGGGGAGCCAATCATCTCCCGACTATCCTATGGAGAAAGAAATCTATGTTGGCATAAAGTAAAACAATCAGATCCATACACTCCATGCATAGTTTGTTATTTGCTTAGGTGCAATCAGATGCACATACACATTAAACGTTACATATACGCACATGATCGCACATGCATCTACATAATTCTACATATATACAATCAACATGCATGTTTGTGATATAATATACATCATACATTATTCTATATTCTTTTATATAGTCGTGTATTTAGGGACTTCATGGGTATTCGCATGCACCCGCTGCAACTCTAGCACCCACAAGAAATGTCACACATTGTCACACTATACCAGGCCAGTGGGATGGCCAAGAAGCTCAAGGACCAAGCGTAGGTCATCATGTATGGCCCCAGCACCGCGAAAGAGAAAAAGAACTGCTGCCTGAGCAGTTCAAACACACAGTTGATACAGTTGCAGCCACCAGCTAATCTGAGCAAAACATCACATTGAAGCTCGAATGATGTGAATAATTCATTCATGAATCGTTAAATTCGATCCATTGTTTATATATTTTATATAGATTTATAATGATTATATAATGATTTATATAGATCGTTGAGCTGTGCAATGTGCCCAAGCTGCCAAGTTGCCATCTGAAAAGCATGGCCGGACCCTCGGGGTCCACCTTCCCGGCAACCTTCTCAATCGACGAATCGAGACCCCTGTAGTGTGGCGTGGGGTGCTTGAGCCAAGACTTGCAAACGATCACCGCTGAATCGAACTATGACTCTGATTCTCAAGGGCGGAGCTACAGGCCTGGGAATGCCAAACAATAAGTCACAAGTAGCCAAAAAGGATCAAAAGGAATCAAAAACTGGCACGGAAATCTCCAGGGATTCAAGTCAAAGCCATTTCATACAGATATGTTACCATCAAATCCCTCCCTTCAGGCCCAATGCCTTCGACAGCAAGGCTGCTGGAATAGGCAAGGGCCTCAAAGGCTGCCCTTGGAAACTGCAAGAAAATGCTGGAATATGCCTAAAATGTCTGGAAATTGTTGTGGTGCTTGGGTATTTGAGGGGTACTTCTTGTCAGTGAGAAGATTGTGGCCCATGCTCTGTTCGTCAGCAATCCAAATTCACTCTCTTGCTCTCTCGCTCTCTAGACTGTGCTGTAGGAGTTATATAAGGTAATTATATATGGAAATCACCAGGCTTTAGACTTTAGACATCAATCATTGCGGGTAGCATCCCAATGCTCCATGTCATGAAGTTGAATTGTTGCCCCTTTGTTCTAGTCAGCTGACAGAGTTCCCCCCCAACATGGGCTCGACCCAGTGTGAGACAAGCAGCACCAACTCGAAACATTCCGCCATCTCACGCACTGCCTGGATCATCGACGAACCCTCGCCATGCTGATCATCATCCTAGCCCTGGAGGCAAGAAAACAAAGGAAAAAAAAACTGTGGGGAAAAAACACCATAAAATGTCCTTCAATGCATCTGGCAAGTTGTTCCATGAGTTCCATGGTCCTGCATTGCATCATGAGTCAGCTGCCATGATCTTTCCCCACTGTTGCGGTTGCGGCCTCGACGTAGGTGAGGGTTTCCAGTTTGCAGGTGAGGATGGAGCCAGTGGGGCCACACAGCAGCCGTTGCCAAGCACCTCACCGGCGTGGGGGTGTGGCAGTGGGGGTTGTTGATGGGAGTCAATGGGAATAACCATGGTGATAACCCCCAGAAGTTGGGATACAACACCTATGACTATGGTTCTATATACTATATCCACTTGTAGCTTATAACTTATAACTCCAACTGCACCCCCAAGCGGTGACTAGTGGCACTGCCCACTCTCAGCTGCTCTTCATGTGCAACGCCCACAAGCAAAGTGTCGGTACGCACATCCAAAAAAGTTTCATCACCAAAGTAAATAAGCTTCGCTAAGCTTCTTGGAAAATTTCCATGAGCTTCACTTTGGACTGTTCTTCCCATGACCTTCGGCATCCTTCGGCCTTCCCAGAGGCTAAGCATCCCTTTGGCGCCTTCAGAGGGCCCGCACGCTCGGATGCCAGCACTCAGCTTGCTCCTGATGCGCAACTGTGAAAGAGAATGCTGATGAATGCTGGCCGACCTTCCAAAAGGACCATAAAGTGGCTGACAAAAGATAAACACATTTTCCAGCAAACCAGTTTTCCAGCAAGTCAGGCTCTCAAATTCTAAAGATATTAGTTGCAGTAACTCAAATTTACCCTCTGGTAATTTAACATAGCTATTGAAAATGGCCATTTTTAATGGGAAAACTCACTATAAATGGCCATGTTCAATAGCTATGTTAGTTTACCAGAGGGTACATCAAATTTACATCAAGTACTACCTGGATCTTGGAACTCTGTTGGGATACCACTGGGGCCTATCTATGGCTTTCCAGTAGGCGCCGTTTTGAGGCGGCGCCTGAGGCTCTTCACCAGCTCATAGCGGCAGCTCTCTGCTCGGCCTCACCCGAAAATTCCCCTGCAAATGTTGTGTCATACCTAGAGGTAAAAACCCATCAAAAACCAAAGAAAACCATGAAAAAACAACATGAAAACCATGAAAAAACCAGTGAAAGCCATTGAACCCTCTGGTCACTGGGTGATTTTTTTTTTTTTAACTCCTTGGTTGGACGGGTGAAACCACCTTCCACAGCCCGGCCTTGGTAGTACCTACCCACAGCCTCCAGCACCTGCAGTACTTGGTCAGAAAACCATTCAAAACCCATGGGAAAACCCATAAACTTCCAATCTCATCCAATCTCCAGTTGTCGCCATCCAGAAGAGTCATAATAGGCGTCAAGACTTTTTGGCCCGTAACATCCTCTTTCTCGGTCAACATCCCATTGTTGGCAAGGGAAGTCAACAAAACACAGCAGTACAGCAGTTGCACCGAGACAGCCGACACATCGACTTCGACACCTCCCCATAGACCAGCCGAAACTCCACCATGCGTTGAAGATCGTGCATGGAGAACCTAGGAAGGTAGTGAAACACCATTCCATTTGAGCATCCTGTGAGATCACAGCGCCCAAGATCTCCAAGTCCTCCAAACATCGATCCTCACAGATCCACCCCACAGCTCCAAGTAGGATACCCTCTGGTAAACTAACATAGCTATTGAAAATGGCCATTTATAGTGGAATTTCCCATTAAAAATGGTGATTTTCCATAGTTATGTTAGTTTACCAGAGGGTATTCCAGCATATTCCCAGCATTTCCCAGCTATATCCCAAGATTTCTATGCAATTGTCACAGCCCAATATTCGTTCATCATACATTCCACACTCTTCTGTACCATCTTCATGATCAACAAATGCATCAGGGTTCTTTCATGCCAGGTGAACGGTGAACCAACCCTTTTCGCACAAGTGGCAGCACTTCACCGTTGGCCAATGCTGACGCAATGCCACCACGGTCTCGGGTGACGCGATCACACAGGTTGAGGGGGGATGATTTATGGATATTTTGTGGCAAACAGGGATTTATGGATGATTCATGGGTACGGTATGATGGTTTAATATGTTTTAATATTTTACGGGTATTTTTTGACTTCTTTATGGATATCCACAAGTATCCAAGACACAGGTCATGGATATTGCATGGCAAATTCAACTGGCATTTTTGCTCTGGAGTGTTGGGTGAGGCAAATCTAAACGATCCACATGAAATGTGGAAGTTGCATCCCAAACAGGATGGTGCCGACATCATTATATACTAACAAAGCATTGGAAAGAGCCATAAGGATCCTGTCAGGTAATCCAACCTGGCTCTAGCAAATATCGAACTTATAACTTATAGACTTATAGACTTATAGACTTATAGACATCATTTAGTTGCTGAACAAGGGCTGTTGTTTTCATTGTCAGGTTAGGTTTCCATGGGACCAAAGTATCCTGGGCCCAGCCTGGCGCAGGCTGGCCGATCAAGTGGTGGCATGCAGCATCCTGCGCATTCATCATCCGTTCCAGCTTGTGACACCCGAATGAACACTAGAATCACTAGAATTGAAGAAGAAGAACTGATGACACTGTGAAACTAGTTCTGCGATAACGTTTTGGGGGGTCGCAGCCAATCTTGGTGCCGGGGTCCACCACGCGGGGTGCAAAATCCGAAGCTTCGATGATCAAATCCAGAGGGAAGTCGTCCAGCAGCAAGACCTGGGCGAAACCCATTGGTCCCTATCAATGGCCTCAAGGATAGCAGTATAAAAGGAAGGGATGATGTGGAAAAAGTCTATCTATGTCTATCCAAATCGTATATGACAGGGCCTAGAATCTGGCCTAGAAGAGATGATATGGACTGGGTGCTGGCATAATCAGTGAAGTTCGTGGAAGTCGCTAGGAAGTGGGCTATACAACTCCTGCAACCACCGTTGCCATCAACTTCGGAGGTCATCTCAGCTCAATCAGCAAGGGCCCGATACTCAACTAGGGACCAGACCAGAAGTTCTGAAGGGACTGGGATTGCCAAGTGCAAAGGTATGTGTGCATGTGTGAGTCAAGGGCCCCAGGCATCATGGGCACAGACTCACTCATGCACTTCTTACTTTCTTGATCTGTCGTGGGTATGAAGAGAAACCAAATGTGTACTAATTCTCCTTCCACCCAGTGGTCCTGTGTGATCGTGCCACAAAAGACCGACGCACTAGCATTAGTACTGTCCGAGCAAAAAGAAACAGAACCTCCAAATTTCCACATGGTGACACATTGTGAGACATGGAACCTCCAAGCACTTATCCCAAGATCCATCAAGATCCTACTTTCTTCTCAGGTTCCATTTTCCTTCCAGTCTTGTCTGCAGCCAAGGCACCAACATGTCATGAAAGTCCAAGGCCGTCATAGCCACTTCTTTGGGCTTTGGAGCAACCAAGTTCAATTGTGTCCTGACAGTGACTGTCACTCCGACGTTGAGAGGCTAGTTGCAATGGCCACTCCCACTTGCACCTGTGGTGATGATCCAATTATTAATATGATTATAATCATTGCATCTTTTTGCTGGAATTAAGTGTTGTAAATGTTGTAACTTGACCCGTCTATGATATATGCCCCCAGCCCTCTCTTGGGATCTAGCAACACCGGGATCCTCGCCTCATCAATTCAACGAAGGCACGTCGGTTCTCAGGCGTGGCGATGACCGTCCTGGACACCCATGACTTGCTGTCCACTAAGATGCTCAGCTGAGTTGTACGGACTCCAGGTGAGATCTACGTTTTGAGCTTTAACACATCTGGCACCAACCAGAAACATCCAGAAACATCCAGTCAGATTTTTTCCACTTGCCATGGCATGGAGCTCCATAACGATCCATGCTTCAGGGCCTGAGCTAGGATTCAGTAAATATCTCCTAATTATTAGATTTATTAGTAAAAAAGACATGTTTGCCTAGAGTTGTGGGCAATACTAAAATACTAAAGGAATAAACATGGATCACTCTTGCATCCCCCCAGTAGTGATTGGCAGCCCCTGATTGGTCAAACCCATTTTTTTTCCCCTCCATTTGTGGTGTACCATATAATTCTTGCTCTTCGCTTCTCCGGCAGTGATCCTCAGAAACTGTCTATATGATTGCACGCAACATCTAGACTAGTCACAGACTCAGACCTTAGACACCTACCACCCTCCATGTCCAAGCCGTCAAACTAAATTGCTCTTTTCAACCGCTTTGCCAGCATCACTCAAGGTAACTTCTAAACAAACAATAGTAGACCTGCAAAAATACCTGTCTGTGAAATGCACTGCCAAGAACAAGAGCTCATTGCCCACAAACCACCAATCGGGAGGGAAGTGAGCCCAAGCGAACAGGGATGGGCCATCTGACTTCGAGGCAGGCAAGGCCGTTGTGACTTGAGCATTCCGTTTAACGGGTATCTGTCTGAATGGTTGCAGTGTCCCTTGCCTTCGATTTTGCTTATGCAACTGGTGAAGTGGCAATCCCTCTATCAAAACCGCTCTAACAAGAATTCATGTTCATTCTTGCTCTTCGCTTCTCCGGCAGTGATCCTCAGAAACTGTCTATATGATTGCACGCAACATCTCGGCTAGTCTTAGACATCTACCACCCTCCATGTCCAAGCCGTCAAACTAAATTGTTCTTTTCAACCGCTTTGCCAGCATCACTCAAGGTAACTTCTAAACAAACAATGGTCGACCTGCAAAAATACCTGTCTGTGAAATGCACTGCCAAGAACAAGAGCTCATTGCCCAACCTCCCAGCACTGGCGGCGACTGCCACGGCGAGAGCGGCCGCAAATTAAAGTGTTCCAATCCAGCCGGGGAGTCAGAACTTGCAAAGATGAATGCCACATGCGAATGACCAAGCACATCTTCAAGCTACAGAAACTAGCTCTAGGCCCAGCAAATCCACACACAAACACTCTCTATTGCACTGCTTGGTGTGCACCGTTTGTAACAAGCACCAAGGTACCCACACGCCGCGCCATCAGCACAAAGCCCGGAAAGCACAGTTGGACGTGTGTTGCTGGCAGCACTGTACAAAAACTAATTCAAAAACCAAAATAATACAAGCTATCTTTGGATTGTCAAGTGAGCCACATGCACATCATGCCAGGTGCCAAAAAAGGCAAGGCAGAGAAGCTCAAACAAGCCAACGTTGCTTGAAGGTCTTTCACTTGCGAGACGGTGGTGGGGGCTGTAGGTCAGGACCCCTCACCTCAGCCACACAACGCAGACCTCGAGATGGAATATCTGAAGGATTTTCAACCGAAGGGACCAACACCAGATGTACTTGAATGTCGCCAGCCATTTCCAGGGCTGCAGCCTTTCTGAGCAAGCGGTTAAGCTGAGTTGAAGACCTGCCCTTTGCTGCTGCACCGCACCAGACAGAGCTGTCCACTAGCACAACTGTGCGAGCACAATGCCGTTTCCGAGACCTAAGCAGCCAGCGTAGCCACATCAAAAAAGCTTCACCTTCCAGCACATTGACGTGAGCCGTATGCCTGGACTTGACACTCAGCACATGCACAAACTCATGCATGCTGATGTCAATGCTATGCGCTTGCCCCAATCGCTTAGCAGACTGGCCCAACAAGAAGCCTCCATCCAGCACCACAAAGTCACCCTGTTTCTCTGACACCCGGGCCACTCGCCTAGCAAAAGCCGACGTCACCTGAGCAACACTTGCACCAAACCCAAAACTCGTGTTAGCATCCGTTGCAGAGATTAATGAGAGGAAAGGTCTGCGCAGATCGACTTGCCAGAATATGCCCAATAGCATGCCAGTGCACAACTCAAACAAAGCTTCAGCTGGAATACGCCTCACTGAGCAGCAACTGCACGTCTGCATCGTTGATGCCCCGCGCTATCAGCACCGGTCGGCGCTCCGCTGTGCCCAGGGAGAGGAAGTGAATGGAGGCATTGACAGTGGAGCAACTGTGAACTTCAAGACCAAGTAAGCTGCTTCCTCCAAGCCATTCCGAAAGGTCCTGATTGCTGGTGTTGTGAACAATCACACTGTACAAGGGCTTACCTGCAGCTGCCCGATGAAGCAGGCAATTTTCCATCAGATTTAAGCAGTTTTCTGCCTCACCACAGCCCAGAAGTGTCTAGAGTCTTGATGTACCGTGGCGGAGGCCCCACCCGGCAAATCACACAGTAGGTTTCAAGGAGTGTAGAATCCGTGACGTCCTCACTGGTCAGATAGGCGGCCCAATTCTCCTTGAAACGTTTCTCATCGTACTCAAAACCCACAGCAATGCCCTCCAGGGATGAATCAAAGTGCGAATAGAGTGTAGGCTACGGATCAAGTATAATATCACAACTAAACACTCTGTGATCCAGCACCAAAGGGGCAATCCGAACTGGCCTCTTTGGCTCAAGACCCACTGCAGCACTGGAGAAAAGATCAGCAATGCGGAAGCAGCTGCCCGTGTGACGTCGTCGAACTGGAACATTTATTCTCAACATCAACCATTGGAACATAATCGGGTAGGCAATCCCCGATTCGCAGGTTATCAGCCGTAGGACTCCTACGGAGCCTACGACCGGGGAGCCGCGGGCCTTACAGATGACTGAACAGGATAGCAGCGATAATGCATTTTCTTTCTCTGGACATGCCGTTGCACCAGCTGCCGGCACGCAGTCAAATTCTTCACAGAGTATCGACACTGGTGGAAGCGATGCCTCAGAACTGAGAACAAGCCAACCCAGGCGACATCTGGTTGCTCCTAGAGGGAGACAAATTTCGACAATGCAAGCAATTGAAGATAGGGACAGCACACCTGGAAAGAGAAGATCATCTGCACGACAATTGTCGCCTCCGATGACTCCAAGGACTAAGGCAAAGACTACGTCGTCGAATCCGCCTTCACCGATTCAGGACGCTACTCCATCAGGGACAGGATCTTATCAGCAAGTGAATGCCCCGTCAAGTGGTAGCGACATCTTCACTGCCTATCAGAGTGAATTAACTGAGTACAAAACATCACTGGAAAGGGCCACTGAAGAAGAATCTGTACTTCAGGCAAGATTGAGTGAGACGACAGCATATGCCTATCAACAATTTAATTTCCTGGAAAGCACCACTCATCAAGAGATGATGTCGATGACCGAACAACTCCAGATGCTGAACTTCGAGTTACAGGCTGCACAACAGGAAGATGAAGGTGCGACCTACAGGATCGAAGAGTTGGAAAGGTATCAGACTATGTCGAATGAAGCTGCATCTCATTTGGAATTCAAATATTCACGACTACGTTCGGAATTCGATGAACAAATGGGACAAGCAAACGCAATTATGGTACATGTGGGAACTGACGCGAATGCTCACATCAATCAACTCAGACTGGAACTGGAAAACGCAGAGATGAATGCCAAGCAAGAAGCTCTAGCAGTCGGCTATGCTAATGACCAAACATGTGCGTTGCAGATCGAGATGCTCGAGGTTGCCAATCAGAACCAGACGATGAAGCACACCATGGCCATGAATGTCAGGCGACTGGAAACTGAGTTAGATGCTGCTGACATGAAGAGGGACGAGATCATGAAGGAGTTCCGTAGTAACATAAGATCTGAACATGACCGTTATGCAGAATGTGAACATCACTTAGCTTTGGAAGAATCACAGCTTCGATTACAGGTGATCCACAGTGAGAACTTACAATCTCGACTAGCGATTTCTGAGAACAGGGTTTCTGAAGAATCTCTAGCTGAATCAGGTGGCATGCGGGACATGAGGATAATGGGACTACGTTCTGAACTACACATGAAACAAAGTCTTTTAGATCGAATGCAACAGCAACTGACTGAATCGAAGAATCAGTATCATGAACTTTCCTGTCAACAAGCCAGAAGATCTTCACCAAGCAGATCACCGCATGGAGGACCTCTATACGAGATGTACATGCAAGCCGTGCGTGAACGTGACAGCTTGAAAGAATCCAAGGCCGAAGTTGACAAGTTGTACTTGCAGAATAGATCTGAACTCATTGACACTGAGGACCTGCTCAAAGTCTTCCAGCGAAACTTTGATGAAACTGGTAAGAAATATCAAGATGCTCTGAACAAGATCGATCACATGAGCAACAATCCGAATGTGACGAGTACCTTGTTTGACAGTTTGCACAATGAACTCAATGACAGGGATACAGCTATTGCTCGCCTTCATACTGAACTTGAAGCCCAAAAGGACTCTCTTGAGCGTGCTCACAGGGATGCAGGTAAGTCCATCAAGATGTTGAACGACAGAAGACTCGTGATCAAAGGTGCGACTGACTATTCCATTCCTGAAAGCCATTTGACCGAGATGCATCAATTGGCCAATGAGCGTTACGCTGAGGTAGAAGAAATGTCGAGCACCATTGCTGCCCTGAAGTTGGAAAACCAAGCTCATTCTTCTTCATCAATGAATAGACCGACTACATTACATGGGTACCCCAGTAATGCCATGCCTCGGAATGAATGTGAAGAGAGGTGTGCCAAACTGAAAGCAGAGTTGGACGAGATGAAGCAAGAGAGGAACGCTGAAGTTCGAAATCTTCAAGATGAGTTGAAGAAGATGGAAGATCGTAAAGATTACTATAAGAACAATTTCTCTCAAGCTGAAGATCGTGCCAATGATGAAGAGCAGGAATACCGAGCAGAAGCTGAAGCCTTCGAGAAGCTCAGGAACGAGTACAACACAAATGTCAAGGAGTTGGAGAACCTTGAAAGGGATAGATCCAAGTCATCTGTATCTCTAAGAGAAGCCGAAAAGATCAGCCTCCAACCCTGGCCTAAGACCACTGAACTTTCATCCTGGAAGGGAAGTGTCGTTCATGAAGTTTGCGTTGCAAGTGGAGATCGAAACTATGAAGATTGGAAGGCGTGGTTAGCTCCGTGTCTTGCAGATCAACCTGACTTGGAGGCGCTGGCCAAAGCTCCTGATGTGAGATTCCAATCCATTGATGCCAAGCTCTCCAATGCCTTGAGGAAAGTCATTGACAATGCTGGGGACAAGTCCATGCAAGTGAAGTATGACATGTCCATGAAGAACCAATTGTATGGGAGAAGTGGGGACTTCATCAAGGGACGAGAACTATTTGCAATGATATTGATTAGCTTCAAGTCACCTGACCACACTGAAGTTCTCTACAATGCCCATCATTTGTATATGTTCAACTACTATGGA